TCATATCATATATCAAATTACCATAAAAGAGCAAATTTATGACATAGTAGTTAGTACTTCACTAAAGCATTTTATAACACAATTCAGTGACAAATCTAATAAATGCCAGAATTTAGAGTATGAGCATATACAATATTTTAAGATATCTGTAGCAGTTTTAATGTGATATGAAAATGTCTGATTTATGTTTGTGACAAAGTCACAGCTGTTAATAGCACTGTGGCTTCTTGCCTATTCACAAAGGAAGGAAATGTTAATTTCTGTGGTGACAATAAAACTGTACAATATTTTTTTCATCCGGATTTGGGACCCTCTGAATCCTACCCATAACTTCCCACTCTGGAGTAAATGGACTAAGAAATAAGGAAGGTCCTGGCCGGTTCTGGTTCCCTGGCTTTTGCTGTTTTTTCACCAGCTTGTCAAGCAGTTTTCAACTTCCTGGCCATTGTCTTAGCTGTTTTTTTCTCCTGGATAATTCTTCCTTTTGCTCTTAATAAGACTGGCTCCTCTTCATTCATATCTCAGTGCCAAGGTCACGTTCTCAGGAAGACCTCCCAGTTTTTTCTTCTAGTGATCTTCTTGTTAAGTTTACTTTGGCAACCTTCTTTGAATATGAGGATCTGAAGGCAGGAACCACCCCTTGCCCTCGGCTGTGTCTGCAGTGCTGAGAACAGAGTACTTGGCAGGTAGACGTTGCTTGAAAAGTATGTATCAGATGGATGATTCTTCAGCTCATATTATGCATTATGGCTGTAGTTACTTTCCATGCGTTCCAGTCTAATGTTAGAGTTCCAGAATTTAGCATGGTGAGACTGCTCTGTTTGGGAAATGATGCTGAACAGTTTCATCTGTATGAATTTATACTGAGGAAAGGTAACCCCTCACCTCTTGATCTTAAGCGTCATAATCTCCCACTGTGGTTTGAAGGCTTCGGTAAATTTGGTAAGCATTGCTTCCCTGTTTGGGATTAAGTTCTGATAGGCTGTTTGTAAACCCATTTTGTACTGTCCAAGGTGACTGAGAGGGATTTAAAGTTTGTGGAACTGATTATAGTTATTATTTCCAGAATATTTATACTTTTTGTCAACATATATTTACATAAATATTGTATTATTTTCATTGAGCCCATATCCACGTTAGTTGATGAGTCTTATCACTAGAGAAAAACCGATTAGGTATCTTCAAAAGCTTTCCTTTCAGATAAGATAAAAATGCTTTAACCCAGAAATGTGAGACTATTTTATTGTCAAATTTCAATTTACTGTTTCTAATCTAGGATTTGTTGTTTGTTTATTGCTTTTAAAATCAATTTTGAGGAAGAGAAGGTAATTTATAGAATGAACAGGAAGGGCGGGGATGGGAGCAAAAGACTGTATGGAGAGATCAGCCTTAGCATGGGAGAGAATCAGTCATGGCCTTGGAGCTAGCCAAGGGTCTTAGGGATTTCGGTGTTTATCCCAAGAATATCGGGAAGCCATTGAAGCGCCGGGATGACGTGAATAGCTTTGTGTTTTGAAAGTGCCACTCTGGCTGTAGTCTGGGAAATAGATTGTATGACTATAAGGAAACCAGTGGTAAAGGTATTTCAGAAGTTCAAGTGAGAGATGCTCACTGGAACTACTAGGGGGTAAGTTCTTTACGAAAAGCGCAGGGATTCCACTAGGAATCCAAGTTTTTGGGCATTTCGGTGGGTGGGTGGGTGGGATGGATGGATGGATGGATGGATGGATGGATGGATGGATGGATTTGATTTTGACGTTGGCGATAGCCATTCACTGAGACATGAAATGATGAGAAGGTAACCTGGGTTTAAATGAACTGTTAAATGTGTGTGTTCTCATAGACATTCACGTACACATACAAATAGATTACATTTAGGGTTATGCTTATGAACTTTGATTAAGAACTTTATTTTTGTAAAAATTAAGTTTACTTGTCTTTTTTGCCCAGCTCCTTGAGGGTGGAATAGTTTCCCAAAAGCAATCTGCCAGTGCTGGATATTTTCTAAAATATTAAAAGATCACGATTGATTTTTAGGAGTATGCCATCTCCAGTTGGTGGAACTCCACAATTTTCTGTAGCACAGGAGTTTGAGACTCACTACACACAGCAGTAATAGATCTGGTATTCTCAGTTTCAGCCTTTTTCTTTTTAGTGGCCTGATCAGCTCTGTAGTAAGTCTGTGCTTTGTGTTTTTTCATCCATCCTAAACCAGAGCTTTTGTAAGCTTGCTTCTCTTGCGTATGGTCTTCTGCTTTCCCCTTGTTGAGGCATAGCGGTTTTCCGATTTGATCTGTTGTTTTTCCTTTCCTGATGCTCAAAGTTCCCCATAATTCCTTCACTCATCCTCCCATGTTCCCTCTCCCTGCCGAATGTGTGTGTATAAGTAACCAGTCAACCTGTATTCATTATTTTCTTTATCCCTGTTATGGTTACATGGTGGTGTCCTTGAGAATAAGTAATATCTGTTTTTCAATACTTTTGCTTTTCCATCCAGATTATAGTGAAGGCATGTATAAACATGGGTTTATATGAATAATCAGAAAGGAAGTATTTTCTTAAACAATTTAGTTCATAGCATTTCCTAACCATGTTACCATAATTCCTTGTTTGCTCTATCTGATATTTCAATAATAATTTCAAAATAACATTGCTAATATTGCTATTTATTATAACATAGGTGAATACAATTATTTTTCCTAGTGGGTTACAGTCTTGGTCTGTTTAACCAGTCCTTTATGAGTGGATGTTTAGGTTCCTTCCTGTCTATTTGTGCTATTACAAATCATGCCTTGTGATAGTGTTATGCCAACTTTATTTCATATTGTTATTAATGTATTTTGGGAAGAAATTCCTAGATGCAGAATCAATGAGTAAAGGGTTAAATGCTTGTGTAATTTTGCAGGATGTTACCAGTTTCCCTCCATTAACAGTTGTACCATTTGCATGCCTACTAGTATGTATGAGTGTGCCTGTTTTCCCAAGGTCTATCCACAGAGTATGCTGTGTACCCATTAATCTTTTGTTAATCTGATAGGTGAAGAATGGTTTCTCAGTGAAGTTTTTATTTGCATTCCTCTTAAGGTCAAGGTTGACCATGTTTAGGAGTCACATCAGTTCTTTCTTTGCAAACTATTAATATTTTTCTCCGTTTTTCTATCAGAATGTTGGTCTCCTCCTTCTATGTCTCTTTCTCTAATATATTGGGGATATACACCTTTATAGGTTGCAGATATCCTTTCCCAGCTTGTCATTTTCCTTCTGATTTTGTTGATGATGTTTTTATTGCCATGCAAGAGTTTTTTCCCCAAAATTTTATGTAATCACAGTTATAAATCTCATTTCTTCTGGGTTTTGCCATATTTAGGAAAGTTACTTCTCTTAATTTATAAAGGAATTCACATTTTTTCCCCCTCTAGAACTGGTTGGTTTTATTATTTACATTAAGTTGTTTGAAAATTATTCTGATATATGGTTGAGTAACAGCTCTAATTCTGTCTTTTTTCTTATGGCTGTGCAGTTACCCAGACGTCATTTATTAAAAATAGACCATATCTTGTCTAGTTATCATTGTAGTGTCAGAACCTGGCTAATGTTTAAAATGTCATTGATCCCTTAAAGAGCTAAGCCTAGTCATTTCATTAAAGTTTTGATTATCATCTATAAGTCTAGAGAGTTCTTGAAAAATGTTTGAAATTTATTAAATTAGAGTAGATTTAGTGAACAAAGTGAATATGTGCTAATTATACAAGGTATAGCACAAACCTTGATAATGGTGCTCATTAGCTTGTTAATGACTTTATTTTTTGCTGATTTTAAACCTGGAAAAAATGGAAAAAATACAGAAATATATGAAGAAAACATAGTCATTATTCCACTTTCCAGAAATCACCACCATTCCTTCTTTTACATATTTTCATTTAAAAAAAAATGTATGGTAGTGGAATATGAACTAGACTACACTGTTTTGTAGCCTGATTTGTTTAAAAAAAATTTTTTTTGGCTTTTGAGTATGTGTGTGTTTTTCTCTGTTATTAAATTATCTCTGAATCCAATTTTTTTTTTTTTAAGATTTTTATTGGGGAATTGGGGGATGGGAACAGCGCTGGGAATCGGGGAAGGGGAACAGACAAGTTGCTGTCCTTTTTGTTCTTCAGTCTAGTTGTGGAGGACATCACTTCACTGGCCTAAGTTGGCAGCATCATTGCGCTCTTGCTGGGCGAGGCAGATCAGTCGCCGGCTTCTGGACGGCCGCTCACGGTGGCTGCTGGCCGCTCATGCTGGCTGCTGGCTACACACGGTAGCCCATGGCAACCCACTGCAGCAGGGGCTGCATCCTAAGCCGTCGCCGGCGACTCACAGCAACCCAGCTCCAGGTTGAGCTGTTGTTCAGCATCTTAGCTGTAGAGGGCAGTGTCACTGGCTCTCATATGTGGGATCCGAACTGGGGCCCTCTGGCATCCCAAGCCAGCTCATAACCAAAGCGCCACTCAGCCATCCCTCTGAATCCAAATTTTAAAGGACTATATAATATTCTATCTACCATAGTTTATTTAATCTTTAATTTGTGATTTGGACTTTTACATTTTTTTCTGTTTTACTTCCTTACGATAGATTTTTAATTGTGAGCTGATGCTTCAAACGCTTTTGTTAAATATTTTAAAGTTGTTTTTCAGAAAGGCTGTACCAGTTTACACTGCCATTGGGGGACTTTCTCATACTCATTACCATTTTAATATCTTCCAGTTTAATAGATAAAGATGGGGCCTAGTTTCTAAGTGCATTTATATGACTACTAGTGAGGCTGAATATGTTTTATTTATTGGATGATTTCATTGTTTGTGATTTATTTATGGCATAAGGTCAAATTTCTTTTGGAATATTTGTTTTCTTACTGACGTCTAAGAGTTCTTTATCAAGACACTGTCAATTATTGTAAATATTTTCTCAATTTATATTTTGCCTTTTTTCTTTTAATTTTGTTTATGGCAGTAGTTAATTTTATGTAGAAGTTAGTATTTTGTTTATCATTTTCTGCTTGAGTTTTTGCTCTGTTTCATTTTCTTTTAACTCTGTAAGCAATAAAATAGTTCCCCTATCCCCTCACTAAAATGCTTAATAGTACCTCCTAGCATGTAATAGGTTTGATAATTATTAGTACAGTATTGTACATACTTTGCTCTACTGGAAGTTATTTTTGTAATAAAGGACTTAACCTGAATCCGAAACATTAAATCCTGGACATTAGCTAGTTTTTATATTGAATAGTGGAATATTCAATTCTAATTTGCTCATACCAGTTTACTATAAACGTGAGAGTCTCTATCAGGTCTAATTCTTTTTCTTGATATAAGTGCCAACCTGGTCCTTGTGTCAGTACTAACCAAAATCGTTATTTCTTCATAGTAAATTCTTTATCATGATTTTCAATAGGATTTTCTTAGCTGCTGATGCTTTTTCCCCATATTAACTTTGTAATCATTTTGTGATTTCTGTTCACACACACTAAAAACTTAATAATTAAAAAAGACTCTTGTTTCTGTATGATAGTCTTGGTTTTGACCGATTTTGTGAGTTCTTTTTATTCTTTGAGTTAATTAGTTGATTTGTTGGATGTTATATAAGTAAATATGTATTTTTCCCTTTTCTGTAGTTATATTTCAGCTCAAGAATCATTGAACTTGAATCACTTGATATTTTTTATGATGCTGTTGATCTGTTTGCATTTTTTTTCGCTGCTCAGGACACTGTCTAAAGTGAGAGTCACATTTGGAATCTGTAGGAGTCAGTTGGAAATGGAAATAATTAGATTAACAACAGATGGAGGCAGTTAATTTAGCGCTGTTTAGTGTAGCCATGCTGTATGAAGGGAGAGGAAACAATTTCTGTATATTCAGGAATGTTTTCTTTCTCCTCTGACTAATTGTATCTTGAGAGTAGTAAGGTTTGTGATGACACTGTGCTTGGATGAGGGTGTGTGCTGTGCATCTGTGTTGATGGAGCGTGCAGTGGTAGGTTTCTTCCTGAAACCCAGGATGCCCCCTTGTTAGTATTGGGTGTGTGTAACCTGTCTTCTGAGAGTGATATTTAAGTAATACACTGATATTCTGGGAGACATATTAGAAATGTATGGGGGGGGGTATAATTTGGCTTCTTAAATCTGTGTTAATTTAATAGTCAAATTTTGTAGTTAAGCAGTAAAAACTTGGGGGAAAAATATCCGAATCAGCCAGACCAGAGGATTTCACCACTTTGCTGCAAAATAGTAGTGACTGACTAGTAGAGCAGGTAAAAACTTTGTCTGTTAAAGACGATCAGTTGTGCTTCAAAAGAAGCACCTTATGTCATGTTGAAGTGTCGCCCGCCTGTTGTTGACAGATGCGTCTTGGGTGCCCGAAGGGGCCAGAGATAAGCAGTGATGCGTAGTGGTTTTCTAAGGTCCTGGGCACCAGACGTCTGCTGAAAAGGAGAAGAAAAAGTAACTGAGGGCTCAGATCTTCTCTCCTTTCCCTTCTCTGTACTTGCACTTAACATCAGATACCCCTGCATTACGCAAAAATGGTAGACAGCCTGGAGGAAGCCTTCACCGGCCAAAAGTGAAGGACAGGCGGAGAATAGAAGACAGGCCATTTTTGCTTAGCTTTTTATACCTTGTAATAGGTGTCATTACGTGAAGTACACAGCAGAAGAGCATAATGGTTAAGAGTGTGGCCTTCGAAATGGATCCCTGCTGCTTCACCAGCTGTGTGGTCCTAGGGTCTTCCTTAACCTCTCGCAGGAATGAGTCCTCGCTATCCCATGTTATCTATAAGGATTATGTGAGCTCGTGTGTATAAGGGGCTGTGACAAGTACCAGGCACACAGTGTGTGCACAGTCAGTGAACAGCTCCTGTTGCCGTTGGTAGTGTTTTATAAAGCTTTCAGTTGATAGATATTAACAGTATTCCAGTTGAGATTACATATGATTATGCTGTATACTAAGAGGTGAACAATTTTAATTATTTAATGGAAGTTGAATTTCATCATGTATAATCTTGATCAAAATAAAGTAGTGTAAGTATTGACAGTTGTTATTTTTGTCTTCTAAAATATCTAATAACACTTTATGCATAAATAATATTCTGTAATATTGACGAAATGCAATGCTGTCATTTAAAATTACATTTTCATATACAATAAAAATACCATAGTACTGGGCATAAATAAAGCACAATTAATATTTGGTGAAATGTTTAAATGTCATTTTAAGGTGCAATATAAAAATTCATATTTTGCTGAAGAAATCAGCTTGCATATTGTTGAGTAGAAGGTCAAATATCGATTAATAGTAGGATATTTATTTTAAAATAAGAATTTTCAGCAGTACTAAGAAACTATTATTTCATCTAGTGTTCTTTGAGAACTCGGAGTATCATTAGATTACCATTAGTTTTCAAGATAGTATTATCAGGGATATAAAAATGATTTGAAATGGGTGCTTTCATAAGTCAACTTTTACACTTGAATTTTTCCAGAAGGAAAATACTGTCATAGAACGTCCTGGACAAACAGCACTGGGCTTTCTGTGTGCGTACCTGTGCATGTACACAGGGATCAACATACACCTTTCTCCCCCTAAACTTTGGAGGTACAAATGAGAGAGGCACACTGAGGGGTGAATTCCTTTTGTCTTTCATCAAACTTACCTAATTTGGTATTGTCCTCTTATGTGTGACTTTTATTTAGTAATTTTGGTTTTTAAAGTTTAGTCTTTTTGTAATCATATGGAATAAATTAAGTGAAAACCAGACCTAATGAGCTGGAGGTATTACGTAGCTCAGCGCTCAGAATTACTCTATGTAGAATAGGACATTTAGACTGAAGAATTGAAAATTGGAGCTAAACTTGAGTATGAATAGAACTCAGTGTATGAAATAATCAGTACTTAAGCAGTCCCCGTGATTCTGAATGTTATCAAATGCTACAGGTCTGTTTTGATGCAATATCTCCTCAGAATTAAGGATAAAAATGATTGTATTAAAATTAGGATAAGTAACATCCTGATTAAATTAAGATTGATAAATTTACATACTTGTATGAAATAAAAATTTTATTTTAAGGTTAGTGGATATAGTATTTCCTGATTTTTAAATTTGTAATGGAGCCAAACAAAATTACTGTGACATATTTGTACCATAACACTCAGTAATATTTTCCTTTATCTTTTTTATTAAAAACTTGATAAAAGTGCATTGTATACATTGTTCATCCTAGAATCAAGTGTTCATTAACATTTGTAGTTTCCCCCTTCCCCCCCAGAAAGGTTTTTAATTGGTGATGCAGAATATTTGTCACCTACCAAATTAAAAAGTGCAGGTTTATAAACTTGGCACTCAGAGAAAGAAGTAGGTGCCATAAAATGATTAAGTATTGGCATGTGTACACCTGCTGTCAGGAAATAAACTTCCCGTATGTTGCAGTTTGGCAGCCATGCGTCTTTAAGCTGGATTGAGTGAAACTGATGCCGCACTCTTTATCCTTTATCTTTTTTCAACAGCACGTTCTCTTTGTGCCTGTAAGTAGTCACTTTTGCTTCAGTTAGAGAAGCAGGATATGTTTTTATAGATAGTCTTGAAGAGTTAAGTGGTGGTACTCCTTAAGGCTGCAGTAACTGATCTAATTGAATAACACATTGAAATACTAGCTTGGCCTTTAACACCAACGAGGAAACTTATTTGTCTATTTTGAAACATTTAATTTTTTGCGTTTATAAAAACTTGAGCCTGAGACACATCGATTTTTCACATTTTATCACGTCATGTCAAAATAATTTCCCCCGATATATGTATTAATAAAAGAAAATGTGTATCTCAGTTGCTTTTAAAAAGTAAATACTTAAGGTGAGTACTGCGTTGATGAAACGTCTGAACTTTGTAAGTGTGTTTCTGGAATAACTCAGCTAAATCTTATTGCATGGAATACGATTTTGGAACCCTAAGATAGTCAGGTCAGAAAATTTGTCCTTTGCACAATTACAAAGTTTCCTTAAAATCGACAATAATGTTTTATTTACATTTAATTATATATCGAAATGAGAAACAATCTAAAATGAGGGGTCTTTTGACTGCCCCCATTTCTGAAATGAAAATTTATGTGGAAAATATATGCAAATACCTCTTACTGGCCCCTGACGTAAGACTTGAACCTTTGATGTATGCATGCTTGTTATTGCATGTTACTAAACAGGATCCCCTTAAACAGTTTTTGTATAGATTCTTTCAGGATACCTCTCTGTCATATAATGTATTTTTAAGAATTCTCCAGAAATGAAAAGAAATATTTTTGGAATTCTTTCATGTGGTGGATTTTAACTAAAACCTGTTCTATGGGTGTAATCAGTTTTAACTATACATGCTTTTAGCAATATTTTACAGATTGCACATTGGAAAAGAAAAGTTGTCTTCTAGTGTAGTTTACGGTGGCGATACCTGCCTGCCTTTTCTTTTGCTGCATTGGCACAAGCATTGTGCTTATTTTGTTGTAAATGGTTCCAGTATTTTATCAGTTCACTAGGCTGGAACTGATGAGAGGTAATTAGGTGGCTGTATTTACAGCTTGAGTAAGAAACTCGCCAGTGATTGAACACAAACTCATTGGGAGGAGGCACAGGGTCAATTCTCAACTTGGCGAGACAGATCCCTACGTATACGTCTTCTAAATGCAAGCGACGGATGCTCAGAGAAACTTTAAATATCTTCTCTGCCAGATCGCCAGAGAAAACATAGCCGGTCCCCGAACAGAAGACGGGGTAGCGCTCGCTTGGGTAGAGGTCTGGCGGCATGTACCATTTGCTGTCTTTGTTTCGGTTTGGTGCGTATCCTCTCATTAGGTAACCAGTGAAATAGTTCCGTCTGGGAGGCAGGTCTGGCTTCAGTAATTTATGTATCAGATATTCAGTGTTGACAAACATGTCACTGTCAGTTTTCATAACATAAGGAACGTGTGGACAGTATGTGGCAACCCAGTTCATGCCCATTAGTGTTTTAATGGTCAAATTATAGTAGGTATCTAAATAGTCTTGTTGAATTATATCATGATATTGTCTGCTCTCTTCCAGTATTGCACGTTGAAGGTAGCCACTTAACTTAATACTGACACCCAACAAAAAAATGCGCGTGATTTGGATCCCAGGTGCTAGACTTTCATTGCCCCAGGTTTGCCGGATAGCTCTCCTGGCTTCTGTTTGTCCAGGTTCTGCAGCTATCAGTAGTATTAAAAAGGGACTTTTCTCCTGGCATTTTCCAGGCTCATTGATAATGTATTTGAAATGGTAAGACTTTGGATGTCCAGTACCTTTTTCATTGTAAATACTCCCATTGGCACTGAGTGTATTCTCCAGCCCTGTAACTCCTGGGGGCGACAAGTCCGTGTTGTTGGAGTTGGCTGCTGTTTGAGGCCTCAGAGTTTGAGGGACTGTTTCTTTCCAAATGTTCCTAAGAGAGCTGTGGTTTGTCTCACTTTTTGTGGAACGAAATCCTCGGAAAGTGTAGGTCACAGGGTTTTCTTTGAATCCAGCTCTGCCTGGCAGCCAGTCATGATGATTGAAAAACAAGAACATGGCAAAAAGAAACACGAGGGAAAGGAGCCCGATGAGATGGGTGCGGAACAGGGACCGCTTGGTATTCCAGCTCAGCTTGGCAAAGCAACAGTGTCTTCTCCGCCACTGAAGCATGTTGTAAATATCCAGGAGCGGGGATGAGACACTGACGGGGGCTGCACAGGTGCTTTGCTCCTGCCGACTCAGCACTGTTCCTCGGTGACCATTTTCTCACTCGGTCACATTGTCTTCCTTGCAGTCATCCTGTAAAGATAAAACATGAAAGTTCACAAAATGCTGCCTAGAACAGAACTGTCTGAAAGAGACTTTGAATGCTGGTAAAATTCGGGCAAATAGGAATTTTGAAGCTGTGAAGATAGATAACCCAGGAACAAAGTTTATAGCTTGTTTCCCTTTGGCAACATAACATCACGGAGAGCAGGATTAGTTTCTTTAAAACTGTACTTTTTTGCGGCACAATGAGCACTTTAGTGAGAGAAGATTTATTATCTTCTACTTACTTTGTTGTCTCAGTAGCTCTGGTCATTTGTACTTTGGACCTGAGTTAAAGCTGTAGAAGTTGTATGCATGTGGAAGAGAACCCTAGTAGTTCCCTGCCAGTGGCTGTGCGAGAAGACCTGAGAGCAGATGGGAAATTTATTGGCATTAATTAAAATTGATTTGACATACCATTGGTGGGATGGCGCACAGTCAGCGGCCCTTTTTGTATAATGGCCATGTTTCAGTTGTGGGACAGACGGTGCAAGGTTGCTTATGGCAGAGTTCTGTTAGTCACAGTACACTGCTTGGCATGTTTCCATTGGCCCCTGCTGCGCTGAGAAAGTGAGTGAGAAGATGCACCTGTCAAAATTAATTTTCAGGGTCCAGTAACTTCAGTCAGTCTTTTAAGACAGTAATAAATGATGAGCATTTCCAGGCACTCTTTGCTAATCCTGACCTTCCACTTCAAATGTGAGCATGAGAGATTCGGGAGATCATTATCTTCACTTAGACTTAAGATGGATTTAAAAAAAATATATAGCAACTAATTATCTTTAATAGTCGGTGGCCTTGGCAGAACGCTGTCACATATCCCAGTAGACTGCATGTTAGAATTAAACAAAGAACTACTTTGAACAGTCTTTTCAGATTTCGTACAAAATATAGGCACTAGTTACTGTCATAGCCAACTGTTTAACATTTTAAATTTCACAGAATGCCTTTTAAAAAAAGATGCTTAAGTTATGCTGTGTTCTAAATTTATATGTAGAAAATTTGTTACATTTTTAGGACTTTTGCTAGCATGACATTTAGAGCCCTAGATATTTAAAAAGATGATGAGATATCCGTATGAGAAGTTCATGATACCGCACATTAAGATTGGCTGTTACCTTTGAACCAGGTTTTTCAGAGCATAGCACAGATTTGTCCTTGGTTTCCAGTTTGTTTTTCTGGATCAAGCCATGGGGGCAGAGTGGGATAAAGGAGCTGTAGCTTAAATTCTAGAAAAGAAAAACTTTTGGAAGGGAACTAGTAAATATATAATTTTAATTTTCTAACTATTTATTGTGAAAATTATTTCTTTAGGCAAAAGAAAACTAGTCAATAAAACATTTAATGTAGGAACATTTATTTGAAATTACAATCTATACATCCATTATTGTGTTCATTTAGCCTGTGATACTGAGAGATTCATGGTTAATACCAAATTTGTTTAACCCTGACATGAAATTGTTTTGGGGAAGTACTGCAAGTGCTCATATAACTGCATAATTATAGAGTAGACTTCATATATATGTATGTATATAATGTGAAGAACTTTGAAAATATTGCCTGAAAGTGTTGACATATGAATGAAAGTACTCCTAGTAACAGCCACGAGGGGGAGCAAGTAGGTGGGAATTGGAACAAATTTCTAAACTGTCCTAGTACAGGCGCCAGCTTGTGATGATTTCTAGTATCTGAAATTATGTAGTACTTGTAGAAGTTATGGTATTTCCCACATGTAGGAAAGTAATTATTTTGTGAGATATGCACAGTGGCTTTGTTTTAATTTTGGGGTTTTAAACATGTAGGATCTAATTTGCTATTTATTAAAGTTTATTTACATGAATTTTAATGTTATATTACTATAATGAAGACCAAGGCTATTCACTACCAGTAAAACATAGTTCTGCAGTGAACTAAGCTGAAAATAATAGAGCTGAGTATTCTGATTGAGAAACTCAGTTTTTCCCATCTTGTACTTGTAAGTAGTTGGCCAGTCTGTTTAGACTGGGAAACTCTAAGCTTTTATTTTCAAATGAAATATTTGATAAATTGTAATTATTCTTCCTCCACCACATAAAAAAGCCAGTAGATGTAAGAGTTATGTGTATAAACTTTAAAAATACAAAAGTGGCTTTTAAAATTTAATTTGATCATCTGATTTAAACATTCCAAAGCTAAATTAAATGTATCAGCTTTCTGTTCATATAAAAATGCTTGCAATCTGGTTGAAGTTCCAATCATTTAGATCTTTTAAAACTGTCAATTTTGACTGTTTAAGAAGCAGTAAATACAAGGTCAGATGTTGGAATGAATTTTTAAATAAAGGACTGAAGAAGTGAATGAAGGTAATTACCATGGTAATAAATTGTGGTATTTTTATGAAAACAATACACCTGAAGCGATAACTCTAAAGTATTTCAATGTTACAGAAAACAGCAAATTATTACACATTGTAATTTAGCATAAATACATAGTTTATGGTTCCATATGATTTTGTATTGTAGCAAGGGGTGATGGAGATACATTTGTATGTTTGCAAATATTCAGCTGCTCAGGCTTGAAATCATATAGAGTCATTTGTTAACACCCATTGATAAAAATGCATGTGTCCAGCCTTAAAATTTTTTATTATAAGTTTATCAGGTATTATGATTTTTCTGTTAAGAAGAAAGTAAAATTACAACCTTTTATGACATGATAAAAATCATTCTCCGGTTACTGTCGTATTTTAATTCTCAAAGAGTAGGAACAAGACAAGAAAGTTAAAATATTTTGGCATTCTCAATAGTTTTGTACTTTTACATTTTCTGCACAGAAATAGCTTTGATTTATCTCTTATGGGTTTTTATGATAGTATTTTCAAGTTAATGTGTGTTTACGTCTTGTGGATTGAAGTTTATGAATGTTACTGTAAAATGTTCAGTTACTTACACACTCATGTACACACTAACACACACTTTTTATCATTTGGCTTTTAAAAGTGTGGCTATCTTTAGTCTATTGGAACAGTCGTAAATTTAAGTGGTGCTTGAATGAAAAAATGCTACACTTTTGTTTTGAGATATCTAACTTATGAAGATGTTTAATTGGTGACTTTAACATTGAGAGATAAAGGCACTAAAAGAGACTTGAAATTTTTACAGCCATATTTTTTTTTAATGCCATCTGATTTCATTCTTAAGTGGAATAAAAAATGCATGGTTTGAATGAGAGTTGATATTGAGATGTAATAGTAGTAGGGCCTGCTAAAACTTGTTTAATATTAATTTTAGAATGAATTGCTGACATATGTCTTAAAAATGTTTGCCTTTTATGAATAGTAAACAATAGGTTACTGAGTTGTGCTGTGAAATAGAGCAAACATTGGGATCTTTGATAGATATGTAAAAAATTTTAGAAATATCTTTGAGTTCCTGAACCATGAGCTGCTATTCTGATTGTTGCTAAAACAGTGTATTAATTTCTACCCTGCACACACACATGTGTCAGTAGTTCGTTCCTACATATTAATATAGTCTGAAACTACATTTATATTTAATTTTGCGGCCTTATATTGCTACCTATGGGTATTTTTATATCATAGTGTTTTCATATTGTTTTTGAATTTCATGTTAAAAACGGTCACCAACAACCTTATACTTTTTCATTTAGAATCAGTCTGGTCTGTTGCTTACAATTAAAGCTCGTTGTTTCACATGGGGGAATTTTTAGCAACTATTGATATTTCTTTGTTTAAAGTTGTATTCATGGGCACTGTAATAACATGCAAATCCACTGTGGTGGTGTGCTATGCATAAACTCATTGCCTGGGTGAGCCGCTGCAAATGCTTTCTGTGTAGCGTCTTACCCCTGGTAACACTTAAAATTTGTTGACACTCTCTTAGGTGGTGTTCCTTATCTCTATTTGGGGAGATGAATATTGGAGGGAAGATTCTGTGACTAAAACCAGCTATAGATATTGAGATTTGGTTGTAGAAGGACTTTGAAAAAAGCTGTTACGATCATCTTTGATACTATTGAATGGAAATTCACAGCATTGTCTCTTTTGATAGCCATTTTTAAGGGAGCTCTGTAATTTACTAGGTAAGGATTCAATTTGACCTAATTTGGTAGAGGATTGCTATGTTTTCTTTAGAGGGCTACAGATATTTTTTTAAGTTTAATTTCTCAGAGAACCCTTTAGGCACATCTTGTTATAATTTCTCCCTTATATGCCTATAATCCGTATTTACTCCAAGCTGCATAGTGACTTGAATAAAGCGTTGACAGCTTGTCTTCTAAATGACACGTTTTAAAAATCATATATTTAGAAACCTGTCATAGTTTCAAGGGCAGTGAAGTGGACGAACTTGTTTATCAGATATTATTGCCTGCAGGGCTAAAAAAAAGGCAGCAGACATTTCAATGAATATCACACATAAGATACCGACATACCTTCCTTGGTCAGGCCATTTGTGTGCAGAGGACTAAGCCCAGTGAACGTACTTGGGGCACGCCATCACTTCAGCAGAAAGATGCTATCGAACATGCGTACAGCCCCCAGCAGTCTGCCGCTCGCGATTGCTTTTCACAGCGTGCAGGGTGTCCGTCTGTCTGCGTGGCTCCCAGACACCCCCCTTCTTCATAGGGGTCCTGGGCTTCTGCAGCTCTTCCTTTCTTTCATTTTCTCTTTCTTTAAACAAAAGAGCTGTAGTTGTCCGTTCTGTGTGGAGCACTGTGGACCCTTCCCGTCAGTTGATGCATTGAAGCTTTTTACATCTGCTGTTTTCCTGGCCGGACAATGCAGTGCTGTATTCTCTTCTCAGTATCCATATTTCTAGTACTAACACGGGGCTGCAGCGTGAAGCAGCCAGAGCTAGAATGGAGTGCTTCGGCTGTGGTGGAGGAGAGCAGGGTTTCACTCTCTCTCGTCGTTGCCTGGCAGCTGCAGGAAGGATTTTGAGCAGTTTTCCTGGGGTTTTAGTCTCCTATGAAGCCCAGGGCTCCTCAGCTGCTGCACAGGCAGGCGGCAGTTTAAATGTGGGCTTGACAGATGCTCTCTCTGACAGAGCAGAATTGAACGTCACTGCTTGGCTGAATCCCACGTGATTGTTTGCATTAATTTGGACGAAAAACCGAAGGTAGGGAAAGGCTTGGAGATTTTGCTTCTATGTGATAAACGATGTATATTCAGCACAAGTGTAGTGCTAAGTGTTTAATATGAAAATGGGATGATTATGAAATAGTTATAATTTTATTGTTTTCCATCTTTTTTTTTTTTAAACTTTATGCTTAAGCACAGGCTTTCTTAATGTTGGCAGTGTTTGATGTTGGTTTTTATGTTTCTTACAGAGCTTCATTGGGTGTAAGCAACAGAAGCTTTTATATGTAACTTGGTGTAATTTAACCCTTGCAGTGCACTCCTTCCCTTGAAGTTTTTGTTTCTTCCTTAAATTACCCTGATTTTACTAACATCTATTTAAGACTCACAGATCATTTTCTTTTATCTGTAACTTAGACCCTCCCCCCTACTTTCTGGGGTTTATATAAATGAGCGCCATCAGCTTTAGTGACACGTGATGTAATACAGCCTACATCTTTTTTTCTCTTATGTGGTCTCGAGTGTTCTAGAAGGCAGCAAAACTTTTACTCACTTTTTAGTATTAGCATTTATTTTTCATTTTTCATTTTGTTTAAAATTACATTTATGATAGAATTCAGCAAAATGAGCTAGTAGATACAGCACACTTGTACAGGATCCTCTCGGTGGATAATGAGGTTTCACTGATCATATTTACTTGTGCTGATATTTATTTCAGGATGGGTTAGTAACTTTCTGTCAAGCAGATCTTTAGTAAGCACCAGATACTCACTCAGATATTTCTTTGTATGTTTAGTCTCCTGGGCACTTAGCTTCCTTTTTTTTAACTGGGGCATTGTCTTTTTATTTTTTGTATTTTTTATTAAATAGCTTGAATTACCAGTTTTTCCTCTGAGGCTTTAGTGACATTAACTCCTAGAAATTTATAGTTTTGGAACTTCAGCTGTGTATTTGTAGTCATGTATACGCTTCATCCTGCCTGTCTTTCCCCAGTGATGTCTGTTAATTTGAATATAGATCTGCATTTCCTCTAATACCTGAACTTTTTTGTTCTCATTGTATTTTTAGTGACGCTGATGAATTGTGCTTTGTAGTGTTAGGAACTCTAGACTGTTTGTTGGGGGCGTATATGACTTCCCTGGAGATGTTATAAGGGACATGAAGAACTTTGTAAATGGGGAATGTAAAGCCTAGAGCGCTTGCCTTTGCCAACTTCAGTGTGAAGGTGAGAACCGAAGCCCAGGCTTCTCGGCATGTAGTACTGTTGTCCACCCACACAACATGCTCACTGCGCGCGCGCGTGCGTGTGTGTGTGTGTGTGTGTGTGTGTGTGTGTAATTTAGGTAGCAGAGTAACGCTTAGTGCCTACTTAAAATACCTTATCATACAAAAGTAGAAGTTGATTATAGGAGATCAGTGTTTACCCATAATCCCTCACGTAGGATTTGACTGTGTAGCTAGGCTGGCAACAGTGGCCATTTATTGAGTATTAACCCAAAGTCAGCACGGACGCTAAGCCTACCTGAGCTGTTATACAAATGCTTTTTCCCTTGTAATGGTTTTATTTTTGTAATACCTATTTAAAGATGAGGAGCCAGTGCTTAGCGTGGTGAAATAATTATCCCAAGTATTAGCTAACTAGTGATGAGAAGGAGATTTAAAACAAGATATCTGTGCCCTTACGCCCTTTTCTTAACCATTACGCTACATGGCGCTGCTGGAGATATTGTGGGAATATTTTTCTAGTGCTGACACACCATACCCAGAAATCATTCACAGAAGTATAAATGGATGTCACATTTGTACTTTAGTCACCTGTTCAACAAATACATATCGATCAACTACTGTGTGCCAGCACTTGCAGTTGGGCCCAGCTTCTTAAACGTTAGGGGTACTAAGATGGTTCACCCACGTTCCTGCTCTTGGTCTAGGAAGGGTAAAGCAGTTATTTTTGCCAGTTCTTCTCAGTGGGCTCTTTTTTGATAGCCTACTGGACTTATTATGGATCTTGATTTTTTTTGCATTTCCCTGTTTTATTTGACAAAATTGCTCTTGCTGTACAGATTTTAAAAAACTAAATCCCTTTAAGAAACGTGAAGAAAAGTTAGGGGGAGGGGGCCACAATCTCACTGGGGGGCAGTAAGGTCCAGCTAATTTCAATTCCTGCCCCTTCCTTCCTCACCCAAGTTCCCTATTCCCAAACCACCTGACCCCCAGAACTCAGTACCTTCCAGCCTCTTTCTGACTCAGGACTGGGAAGTCTTGAACTGTATCCTCGCCTCCAGCAACTCCTGTTTTCATGTCCGCCCACCCCAAGCCCTCCAAAATATGCGAACCAGAAAAATAAATTAACATTTCATAGGAACAAAGAAAAATAGGGGGGGAGGGAGTCCTCCCCCCAAGGTGCTGTCAGGGTTCGGAGGTGGAGGGCAGACAAGCATCCCTCCTGTAGCTGTTGGAGAGAAAGGAGGCACTCCTTGTGGCCCCAGGACTTAGGGTGTGGTGGGATTGCCCCCAAAACATTCGTGAAGACCTGGATGAGTGGTGCCATGTGGAGGCGAGGGCTAGGCGTGTACCTCCTGTGCATGTACCCTGGGGAGCAGCTGTCCCCACGCTGGCCTCTCTAGGAACCCCACTCTATGCTGCTGTGCTGGTCCCATGTGAGGGCTGGGTGGGGGGCGGTGGTGCTGAGGGACCCGGAGTCTATTGGTTTCTGGGGGCTGCAGGACCTCCACTCGCCAGGGCTTGCAGGTGTGGGGAAGGCCTGAGGGTCAAGCTTGGGGCTGGGGCGGGGAGGAATAGGAGGAAGGGGAGGAGCAGGAACTCTAGATGCTCGAGCGCCTCATAGCCTGGCTGCAGTTGGCTCCTGAGGCTGTCAGAACAGCCTCAGGACTAGGGACCCTCTTCAGTGCCCGCCCAGGTTGAATGAGAAGGTAGAGCCCTCTGAGTTCCTAGAGCAGGAGCCGGGAGGGGAGAGGAAGGGGGAGGGGGGAGAGGAAGAGCTCTGCTTGCTTGCCCTTGGCTGCTGCAGGAGGGCCAGTGCAGAGGCTGCTGGGCCCCGTCTCGGCAGGTGGTTCCCCACCCCCAGGGCGGCGCGCCCCAGGGACATGCATTGGGTTCACCTGCACCAGTCCAGAGGAAAGGATTGACACCCTGCTGCAAGGGTGGTCTGGGCAGGCAAAGATGGACGGGATTGGTCGGAAAAAGCAGGTGGCACAGGGGACCTAGGCCGTGGGTAACCTGCTGGCTAGTTGGGAGCCTTCAGTATATTGGTGAGCCCCTGAATTCCTAGTGCTTGTTGCCTCAACTGTGCTTGCTATGGGACAAATGTTTATACAGCAAACGAAATTCCTGAAAACTAATAAAGAGGGGCTGGCTTGTGTCCTTAATCAGAATTGACTGTAAATGTTTAGGTATACCTGCGTTCTGTTTAAGGTAAGCTGGTTAAGAACTTCACATAAATTGCAGAAAAACAGAGCAGGCATGAGATAAAAGTTCCGGTAGTGACTTTTCCTAGCAGCCTGCATGTTTCCAGCAAAGAGAAACTGTAAAAATCTTATGACAGGCAAGCTTGTAGAAGTTCTTCCTTTAGTCTGGTTTCTTTTAACATCTGAATCCTGTGGCTCAACTTTCTCAGTAAATGTGACACGTTTCTTTGTCAGACTCAGCAGACTGGCGGCTATTTTGTTACGTGTTATAACTGGCTCGTAATTTTTACTTGCATAGGCCTCTTTTTAATCCATAACATGCCCCTGATGGTAGGCATTACTGAGTGCGTTGTGGCCACAGCTGCCCAGCTTGGTCTTAGGAGTTTCCTGAGCCTGTCTATTGTAGAATAGATCTCAAGGAGTCAGAGTTTAAAGACAGGATTTGCAATGCCTCTGTCAACCTTAAAAATAAAATAGCCAGTTATTTTACCAGCAAAAAAATGAGTTTATTGAGAAATGGCAGAGAAATTGCAGTTTGAGACATGCAAGCTATGACAAACCATAGGCAAGACCAGAGACGAAGGAGAAGGGCATTACTTTATAGGGAAAAAGGGAGGTTGCGAGGGGGGCGCCTCGAATGGAAGTCCACTGGAGGAGAGAAAGGGTTCAGGGTCCGGCCGCGGCTTCTCATTGGCTGGGTTGTTGCTAGGCTGGGAGAAAATCTCCCCTCCTCCTGCTGTGATAGTCAAGTTAGCTTCCTCTGGTTGGTGAGTAGAAGGCAGGCTTCTCCCTGCTGGGGTCTACTGGCAGCGGCAGTGGTGGTGGTGCTGGTGGTGGTGCGTGAGAGACGCCCCTTCAGGGCTTTCTGCCCTCCATTTAAATGAGGTTTCCTTTATTCTTTTTCATACCTCCCAAAGCTTAGTTTGGATACAGAAGTAATTATTATTTTATTCATGTAGTTAATAGTTTTGCAGTGATTATTACATGATGAATCAGGTATAGATTTGCTCATAATCTCATAGTAAAGATAAGTCATTTCATGGATTTATTTTAATCTGTTTATCTAGATAAATTCAACTAAATGCTCGAGGTAAAAAAGAATGAGGGAGATCAGGGTTGTGAGGAGAGCACTTCAGCCATGGCGGTGACTCCATTCACTGAGAGTGAGCAGGTGCTGTGAGCAGGGAGCCGGGCACCTGGTCTCCCTGCATCGCTCTCCGTTCCGTCTGTGCTTTGGTTGGAGCATTTGGCCCCTAATGCAGGCGTTTATTGCAGCCAGTGCTCACCTGGAGAACTAGCTTCCTTTGCAATGCTGGAGGAAAACAATAATGTTTGGATTATGTTTTGGATGTAATTTCCACCACAGTACCCTGAAAATGCCATTTGACACAGTTACTTATAGACCAGTTTTAGTTTTATTGAGCTCAGTCAACAATTTTGCATAGTGATGTTTGCTTGGAGTTTATATCTCTTGACTATTTTGACTAAAAATTAGATGAAATCGTTTTTATTGCATAAAAGATTTGGACAAATAGCATCTTTTTGGCTATTTAATTTTGGTAAATGGTTTTCCCTTTTTGAGGAAAAAAAATTATTGTTTATTAAGAATTTAGAATTTTCCTGTGAAGTCAATAGATGATTTATGAACCAGTTTTACTTTTCTTTAAACTCATAAAGCCGGAATTAGGCTGATTGCAAATTAGCAATCTCAGAACGACCACAAGTGTCAGTGTTTGCCTGCCTTATTTTTCTCCTTCAGTTTTCACCAACTTGTGCAACAGATATTGTTTAAGAATTCCTTTTGACTTGAAAGCAGAGCTAAATTTAAGTCTCTTTCAGAATCAATGGTAGACACCTTTATCAGTTTTAATTCGTACAAACAATTAATGATACGAAAGGAAAATGTAAGCATTTGAAAGCAGCAGTAATTTGGCAAATACTTTAATAGTATGATTATATATTTGGTTTCTCAGTAGCATAGCTATTTTAGTTGAGCACAAAAAACTAGAACCTTTCAGTTGTTATTTGGTATATACAGGGGATAGATACTCTTGGTTATGTCACTGGATAATGGGGTTTTGGTGTCATCACAGGAAAGAATTAAAAGACGCACTGAATAAGCCGAGCAAGCAGTGAATTTAGGCTTAGGATTTTATTAGAATGAGGGTGTGAAATACTCAGGTTTTAGAACTGGAGTTTCAGGTGTTTCCAGGTGGATCCTCGCTGGCCACTCCTTTCAGTTGGGTGGGATTCTTTATTTGTCTTTATTTGGCCCTTGTCCTAACTGTCATGGGCTCAGAGAAGGTGGAGTTTGTTCCCTGCCCACAATGCTAATAGTGTTATAATCTGTGAACAGTTAGCTCAAGTTCACCTTGAGGGGGCAAGATGGCGTCCTGAGTCACCAAAATCTAACTCTGGCGGGTCTGGTAGCTGCACCTTTTCTTAAGAGTGATCTCATCTCCTCTTTCCTTTGCCTCCCTTCATATCCTCCTTCCATTCCTCCCACTTGTCTCCCCATGGCCCTATTCTTCCTGCCTGCACAACAGTTAGAAGGGTGGTGCTGCAGGTAATACTACTTTTTACGAGGTGTTCTAGAAGTTTATGAGGGAGATTTTAGTTGACAAAATTATTGAAGGTCATTTAGTGAGTGGGGCCAGGGAGGGTAGTCTGTAGTGTTTGGGACAACTTTTGAAATCAGTGAAGATTAGTTCTGTGTTCTCCGGGACTTCTGACTGTCCCATTGGATATGTGTGTGTGAGTGAAAGGCCTTCTTTATAATTAAATGAACCTAAAACATAGTTGGAATACAAAATATGTTTTGTAAAGTTTTAAATATGCACTGAATTTTCCTAGGAATTTAACTACAGTGTATATGGAGGGAAGATTTTACCTACCTTTGTTCTGAATTTTGCCAGTATTTCACCATTTTGAAAAATCACGGTGCTCGCAGTGATGCTTACAGTAATGGAATCACCAGTGCAGCACACCAGTCCGTGGGCATTTGTGATTGTTACATGCACTGTGATTTCAGGTACAGGTACTAGTATCTGATTACTTCAATGAGTTTTCTGGTTTCATCAGGTCTGAGACTCACATATTGAAATACATATTGTCATAAATTTCTTCCTATAAAGAAAAAATGTTTTAATAAAAAATTTAGTGTGAATATGATTGAAAGTATTACACCAGAAAGACAACTTTTTAAGTGTCTTAAGCATTTCAGAGGCATCTAATCCTGAGTATATAATTGATACACTTCAGCACTGAGCATATTTCCTCATATGTATTAACCTGCGTAGGAATTAGTTAAGGTTTGTTATTCAGTTTTTAAGATATTTTCAGCCACTCTTAAATGTAACAAATCTCATCTTTATAAATGGGATTATTTTCCCTGAATATTTTAAAGGCATTTAATTTGAACTGTTTGTGGTTATGAACTGTTTGTGGTTTTTTAATGTCCTCTCAAGTAACATTGTTTACATGTTTATAACATGAAGTTTTATATTATTTATTCATTTTCAGACTGTTTAAGGGAAAGATTGACTTGGTTTAAAAGCTGGTAATAACATTTTTGTTAGCAATTAAGCAAATCATTGAATATTTGAAAAATATCACATGCTTACAATAACTACTGTATAGTAACAATTTACATTTATTGTCCACTTAAGATTTCTATTTCTACCTTATGACCAATAGCATAAATAAAAATATAAGGAAAGTTGTGCTTTTTTTTTAAGCTCTTAGGATCATAGCATATTCAGTGGAGTGACTGAGAGAAAAATAGATGTGGAATTGGCACTAATTAAAGTGTGTAACTATTATGTAAAGGAATTTTCATGTCATATATCACTTCTTATTCTTTTAAAGGAGGGTGCGTCTGCCCGTAAGACTCAGACCCCTGCAGCACAGCCAGTACCAAGACCAGGTAAAACTACAAACTTGGGCTTTTTGGTTTTTTTTCTAAGTGATGCAACAGTGAAATTTTTTTTTTTGATATTTTATAATGCTTTGAAGGAATTGAAATTTTATTTAAAATACTTCTAAAGTAATATCATAAGAACATTTACTTGAAAGTAGGTATAGTTTAGAAAATTTTTAAGAAAATAATTTTTGGAGGTTTATAGAAAAATGTTTCAAAAAGCTGTTTATGTGTACTGTTCCCTCACCAATTCCTTGATAAGATCCACGATGTTGCATGGGGATGTGATTTTTGTTCCCTTATAGAATCATAGAACTATTGTTTTAATAGACAGATATGCAGCTTTGATGCTTAGAATTTCAGATGTCTGTGTTATTTAGTGTATAAGGTTCTGTAATCATTTTTTAAAAAGGTGTTAAGCAAAGGTAGCATTGAAGTTATTTTAGAAACATTTTTCTTCCGTCTTCCTAGTACCTAAAGAGATTGATGCTTATAAGTGCTTGTAGATACCAACGCTAAATTCATTTTAGGTGTTTTGGGTTTGATTTTGATGTTGTTGTAATTTTACATGTAGCATAACTTCAGGGCTAGGCTGTACCGCCTGTCTTCTTCACATCATCATTGCTGTTGAAAGTAACTGGGAAGGAAATGAAAAGCATTGGAAGGGCACAGGCAAGAGTTTAAGTGGGTGGCCTTCCGCTTCCGCTTGGCATGGTCAGGAGTGCATATTTGGGCTTCTTAAGAGCATGGTCACACACAGGCTCATCCTAAAATTATGGCGATGATATAAGTAATTATTAAATATTTCTGTATGGTATTAAGATTATAGGGGGCTTATATTGGAATAGTTTTGTATCTATTGGCTGTTTCACTGTGTCCTGGATCCGTACACCTGGATCTTGACATACTTTTTTTAAAATGACAGTGGGTTTGTTGGAAGTCATTGTCACTCCTGTTTTTGAGGAGGAGTACTCCATTAGACATCTCAAATTTGGAGCATGTCGGATGTAATTGATTTCAGATGACAGGACCGTGGACCATTTTAAGGAGAGCACACCATGCCAAAGCCATTATGAGAGTCTAAGGAAGAGCAGTTAACTTCAGTAAATATTATTTGAATGCCGTCCATGTTCTCAGTGCCAGGCCCTTGGAGAAGCTAAAGGAGCTCTTTGCAGGAAGGAAGCAGGGTGGGTGGGCTGCGTTGGGCCCAAATAACACAGCCTGCAGAGGAGAGGAGTGTAGTGCCCGCCATTGGAGCACAGGGACCCAGTTTATTTTTCTTGGAAGGGTGGGGCAGGAGGCAATGGTTGGTCAGGCTAAAGAAGATCATGTGAGAAATTCAGAAATGGTGTAAAAAGTGAAAATTACCACCCGAAGATTCTAACCCAGTTTTGTGTTGTGTGATGTAAAATTGTCTCATCTCACATTTTCTGAAAATCATTTGGCAAACAAAGGAAAGGGGTGAAGGTATGCACACCGACATACCCCAGGTTGGTCCAGTGTGGCATGTGATGAACTGAAGTTAAGGGAGCTGACTGCGGAAGATCACGCGATGAAAGGAGCGCTGGGTCTGATCAGCTCTTAATACACTGGCATTCTTGTTCAGTTCTACCAGGATGCACTGGCAGTTAAACCGATTGAAATTAATAGGAGCTAATGTCTCATAACAAATATTCTGACGCCCATTCGTGTGTGCTCTCCTCTCCCTTCTTGCACTTACTGCTGCCCTAGGCCCACAGCCCCTACCCGCCATTCTAAAAGCAAAGATTGTTTCATAAGTGTTCAGCACTCATTTGTCACTAAGGCCTGAGTTGAGTGGGTGTTAACAGTTTGTCATCTTTATTTGTCAGATTAGTGAATTTCTGTTTTGCAGCAGAAATGTTAAATGTGTTTGTTATGGGGTGCTGCCCAGTTTTGAAGGGACGTTGTGTCCTATATGACATGTTCACCTGTACTATCTTTTGAAAATTGGAAAAAATACGAATGTACAAAAGATCTGACAATGTACTATGTTGTAGATGAGAGATTATAGACCTATATTATTTGTTACGCAGAGCGAACCTTTTGGAAATGGGGCACTGAGTCACCTATTCTCTTTTCCTTCAGGGAAGGAACTCAAAGATGGTTTCCATTTTTGATCATTTTCTTCTTTATTTAATCCTTTCATGAACTGTTTGTTTCGCTCCAGTTGTGCCAGGAGATTTAATACTTTAAAGTGTTTGCAGTTACCCCCAACTTATAGCCATTCCTTTAGGGAATGTAACTAACAAGAGACATATTTTCCAGTGGATTCAAAAGTCTAGCCTTTGAAAAGCCACAGCCCCGGCCCTTACTGTCACTTCCTTTTTAGAGCCCGATTCAGCCTCTTGCACATATCACTGCTCTCCCACCTCTTTCTCTACACGCAGAGTGCATACTTCACTCCTCCAGCTTTAATTCTTCTACTTTATAGATCTCCTGAAATGGATGGGTGGCCTGTAGCTCTAGTTTACCTGCTTGTCACTCATGTGAGATTGAGAAAGTTAGCCCTCTGTATTTTAGCCAGATTTCTAGTCAGTCATCCACTTTATAACCTAGGTGCGATTTGGAGTACCTCATTCCATACTTTTAAATCTATATGCTGATGATTTGTAAATTTGTATCTCCAATTTATTTATTTATTTATTTATTTTTTGTGTATCTCCAATTTAGATGCATCTTCTTACCTCTGGTATCTATTGGGTTGTCGGAAAACTCAGGACGTACTTTTCTATGTTTTTCGTTGCAAAAATGTGTCATGACTTTTCCGACAACCCAATATATTAATTGTCTAACATTTGGATATGCCATGGGCATCTTAAAACTGATTTCAACACTTGGGTCTCTGATATTTTCCCCAAGATGTCTTCACACTTTTCAGCCTCTTCATGAGTAAAAAGCACCACCATCCACTTTGTTTCTTAAGCCAGAAACTTAGGAGTTATTTTTCATTCTTCACATTTGCTTATTCCTCTCATCTAATGGTGGTGGGTTCTGTCCGATTCACCTTTCTTGTGTTAGAGATTCCTCTCTGTTCTCCTTTCCTCCACTACCACAAGTCAAGTCTAAACTGTCATTATCCCTCTAGATCGGTGCATCTTGTCTACTTCCGGTCCCCAGGAAAACACGTGTAGAGATGGAGAGTACAATACTGTCACAGCGCCCAGAGGCCTGGCCCTTCTTCTAGCTCTTTATTGTGACTGCATTTCATTTAGTTGCCCTTGGATTGGAAATTTAGAAAACAAAACCCCTCATCCTTACCCACACACCATCTCAGTAGCACCAGTGTGGACTATTGGTAATAATCCCAGCTCAGCCGTCTGCCTTCCTGCCCTGCTTGGCCTCCTTTAAACCTTTTATCTAAACCCATTGTTTTTCCCTTACTGAAGATGTGCCGTGAAAATCAAATTATGTCACTTCCTGGCTTAAAAGTTACAGACTTTTCCAGTGGTCCCTCAGTACAGACGTAACTGCCTGGAAAGCCCTGTATGAATTCATTTCTGTGTATGTTTTTTTAAGCTCACCTCCGGCCACTCCTCCTCCTATCCCTCTGGCCTGCACATTCCCGGCTCCACAGGCATAGCACTTGCTTTCTGCTTCTGCCATTTGCACATGTCCCTGCTGCCTGTATGAGCTTCTTCTTTGCAAGTTGGCTCCTTTTCATCCTTCAGATCTCTGCTTAAATGCCACTTCCTTTGAGAGATGTTTCCTGAGCATTCCACCTAAAGGACACCTTCCTGTCAATATACACTCCTGTTATTCCGTAATCTTACCTGGTCACATTTATTTGCTTCGTTGGGGTGTGGCCCCTCTACTTCACTGAGGTCTTTTGAAGGCAGGGATTACTTCTGTTTCCTTTATCATTACAATAATCAGAGCCTACCAGAGTTCTTGTCCATTGGCTCCGAGTAAATATTTAAGTGAAGAATATAATTATATTTGAAATCAGGCATAGCCACCACAATAATTGCTAATTCTCAGCCCGTACATTGTGAGTCACTGCATTTGCTGGACTGGAGGTGAGTGGGACCAGAGGCTGCAGCAGTCAGTGTCAGCGGTCAGTGTCGGTGGTGGCTACAGGGCGCAGGAAGTGCTAGACAGGTGCCCAGAGCTGGCTAAAGACTGACCGCGCGTTTTTGTTTTAAGAGTTACAGCAGCACCAGGGTACAGAACTATTGCCTGTGTTCTGGTTGAGGCCACCTGAGGTGGAAGAGTCAGTCTCTTCCCTTCGCCAGGTTAATGTGCCTGGGGAATGGCCAGAGGGGGTCGGAGCTGAGCTCTGAGGACAGACTCCTGCTCTGGGCGACTGCCCAATGGATTCCTGTTCTGCTCTCTTTGAGGCTAATCCTTAGCGAGATCCTCAGGGTGCCTGCCTTGGTCCTCACTCTCCAGAGAACACACATATTTTTACTAAACCCGTAAACTTGATTTTAATATGTGAGCTTTTCTGTGTTGTCTTTTTCTTACTCTTCTTAGCCTTGATTTTAATGAATCTTTTCCTAAATTCCTGACTCCATTTTGGGCTCGCTTACATCAGTGGCATTTCAGTCAGAGATGTCTTTTTTGTTTTTCTCCTTAGTCACTCTCATAGCAACTCCTGTCTCCTGTGTATCCATGTATCTGCCCATCCTGCCATCCCTTTATCCCTCTAACAAATACCAAACAGTTTTTGAGACTGTATTATATCCCAGATGATACTGTCTAGTTAATCAGATTTATCCGGAAGTCCTATTTCTAAAAATGACTTCATAAAGTTTTAGTATTTTTTTCTCAGCAGTAAGACAGATGAGAACACTGTAACAAATGTGTATGTGTGTGAACTTAATATTTGTATATATCTTTTTCTGCTTTATGTGGTTGGAAGAATCATACTGCTGGACTCGATGAATTACCTAACAATGAATTAGCTCTACACAGAGTATAAACTGTTAGTTGCAGTGTCCAATTTTACTGCTTTTAAAATGGAACATATTCCAAAAATGGGTGTGCTTCTAAGAAATGCAGTATCTGTTTCTACTTAGAATTTTAAATCTCCTAAATTTTTATTTGTTTTTAGGACTAAAAAACATATTCTAGCACAGCACATGGCACATAGAAGGCAGTCAATAAATTTTAATTGCATGGATAAATGCTGAAAATTGAACAGACAGCACTTTATCCTAAAGTATATTAATCTTGAACTAGGCAGGTATTAACCATTATGCCAAATATTTCTGTGCATTATAAAGTCTGTTGTATACAAATAATGAAAAGATGAATACTTGTGTTTTTTATAGCATATGTTTACAATTATTAATAATATATATGGGAAATTACAGATAATACAGACCTTCACATGACTTATTGCCTGTAATGTTCTCTTCTTCTACTAATAAAAAAAGAAAAACAATTTTTAAAAGAGAGAGAAAAAAAGTAATAAATATTCAGGTATTAGCTCCCGATAACTCTTTCATTTTCCTCCACGATGGTTATTAAGCACATTTTCCCCTCCTGGTCCTCCCCCAGTGTTATATGCTCTTGTGTTTCTCAGTTTTTGCATTTATGACCATGGTAATCAGTCAATTAAGAAATTGTTTGTTTGCTTCCTTGGGTAGACCTTAACACCTGTGGCCATAGATGCTCAGTACCCACTACTGTAGTATACCCACTTTCCTTGTTCAGTGGAAAAATAGCTACAAAAGAATATAGATAGGTTCCCTGGTAAGTAAGGACCGATGCAACTACAGATTGTTGAATAATGTGAAAGCATTATTGATGTTGATGTTTTTGTGAAGCAGAGCAATAACTCATTATTTGAGAAGGTTGTAATACATTTTAAAATTTTATAACTAGTCGTATGTAAACACAGGTAATTTTTAGCCCTTATTTTCTTTTTAAGTTTGAAAATAAGAATGTGATTTTTATAACACTAAAAAGTTTGAGTTTTATTTTTCCCCTCTCTTGCAGTTTCGCAAGCAAGACCTCCCCCAAATCAGAAGAAAGGTGAGGTTGTGCATATGCTTCTAAACGTACTTTAAAAAGTAGTTGTGAATAAGCTAGCATTCCCAGGGCTGGTATGGTGCTTGTGCAGTTACATCAGACGCGTGTGCTTGGTGTCTGTTCTGATTAGTAAGTGCCTGGGTTGTACTGATAATTACACTTTTTGAATATCACTGGTGACTTAAAATAGTTTTTGGCTCACAAGAGTTAAAATTAAAAATTTACAAACTTTTAACTTTTAATTGGGACAGTAACTATAATTCCTTTTGATAATAACATTTGCTACCTTTAAAATGGTGTCTTTACAGGATCTCGAACTCCCATTATCATAATTCCTGCAGCTACCACCTCGTTAATAACCATGCTTAATGCAAAGGACCTTCTACAGGACCTGAAGTAAGCCATTTAACCTATTCTTTTCCTAGGACATAGAGATAGGGTTGACAATTATTGTTACGATCTGTATTCCTTATTTGGAGAAAACAGAATTTGAGTTTCTGTGCTATAGGCTTTACATATAGTCTAAAATATAATTTTCAAAGTAGAGTATTTTTAATGTCTGGTTTCTTTAGGGAAAATTATACAAACTTTTGGCTAAAGTCATAATGGAAAGGGTACTATTGTATTAATTTTTAATGAGTTGTTTTGTTGATTTTTTTCCCCCTGAAGAGCTTGAGGAGGCTCTAAAACGAATTCAGAATGGGAGAAGTGATATGAACCGCATATTAGATTAGATGTTCCTTAGGGGGAGGAGGGTGGGGCCATAGTTTTTTTAACCCATACATTAGTAAAAGTTAGTTGAAGTGGAAATGAAACCTGTATTCTATGGGGGCCACCCGAGTAGCTCAGTTGGTTAAGAGCTCACTGAACCGTGTGAGCTCTGAGCAACAGGGTCGCTGGTTCGATTCCTGACCCTAGCTGAGCTGCCAACAGGTGACAGGATGGCCCAGCTAAAAAAAAACAAAAAAAACAAAACTGTGTTCTATGTTAAATCTTCCAGATGCTTAACATTCTGAGTTTTAAAAATTGAGGTATAATTGACATAACATTGTGTTAGTTTGAGGTGTACAATGTAATGATTCGATATTTGTATACCTTATATTGCATAGTGATCACACAGTAAGGCTAGTGAGCATCCACCACCACACAGTTAGTTTTTTGCTTGTGATGAGAGCTTGAAAGATCCAATCTCCTAGCTGCTTTCAAATATACAATACAGTATTGACCATGGTGTACATTATTACATCCATATGACTTATTTTATAACTGGATATTTATACCTTTTCATTTTAGAACTGGAATTTTGTACCTGAAATTTTTAATGTCTCTCCTAAGTCTTCCTCATTTCCTGTTTAAAATGATGAGTATAGTTGCAGTTGCATTCAGTTTATTCTAATAAATGTGCATCAGGACAATGGTCACAAAATAAACCTCTCCTTACCCAACCAGCCTCAGACTTAGACTTAAAATTTAAGTAGTTTACATATTTTTCAACAGCATTTTTCTTTATATTAATTAATATGATAAATTAATACAGTTTATTAGGTCTATTTATCTTAGTAGTAACTCAGTTTGCCAAATGTATATTAATCTGTTAAGACAACAGCAAATTTTTACTTTATACTGCTTGATTGAGTTATATCTGAGGAGAAATAAAAATGCAGAATATTTAATAAAATATTTGCCCACTTAGCTATAAAAAGTTTGTTTTGGTTTGGAATATACCCTACGTTAGAAGTGAATTTTAACTTTTATCTTGTAAGTCATGCTGTTTTGCCTGTTATGAGAAATACAGATGGACTTAGTCATAACTCCCATTTAGGGAGATTGCTGTGTCTCCTGAGCAGTAACTAAAAAGCACAGTGCTAAGTAGATAAATACACCACAAGCCCAGCCTTCCAGGAGCGCCCAGGATAGTGATGGCAGTGTGTTAGGTGGAACTGAGAGCAGTTGATGAGAAATAGAATATGTTCCAGCATTTAGTATAAAACCCAGTCTCAATGCCCATTATTCAAAGTACGACGAAAATATAATTTCTTTTGACACTCCATAAACTGAAATCCTATCTAGAAGATTGGTTCAAAATCAAATTAGACCTCCACAGTAATATATTAGCCAATAAAAACTTCACGTACATTCTCTCACAAATTATGTGGTATTAGTGAGAACATACATAACCACAGTGATTTCTTTTTTTTTAATAATCTAAAGAAATACTTGAAATTCATTATTTTCTAGAATTTGAGACCTGAAAAGGGAATAGAATGCATTTAGCTTGACCCATTCTTGCACCCAGTGAAAATGCTGAGAGATAACCTTTAAAGGCTACGCTGGTATTTCGTTAGGTGCTGAGCAGGGTCTCCCAGTGACCAGTTGAGTTGTTGTAACGTTGGGGCAGTGGAGATTCTTAAACATTCAGATGAAGAAATTAGTTTTTTTCTGGACCTGATAGTCACGGGATCACTCAAGAACAAAAACTCTTCGTTCACTGTTAGAATAACATTTTATAATTTGAATGATCTGACATTGAAAATTCTTGTTAAATATGTTTAATGGTAACTAGGAAAATATATTCACTCAGTAACATAATTAGTATCTAAAAGAAGAATGTGAGTGAATGCTCCACCTTCTTTCTCAGTAAAATAACAATGGCAATTCTTGAAGAAGGAATAAAAAAACCCCGCTCATCTCCAAAAAGGAAATCATACTGCTTCTAAATAACTTATGGCTAATTAAAAATGAGAAGCAAAAAAATGGTAATACTTGCTGATTTTAGGTTTTAACCAAATGTAGAATTGAATTTTAAAAAGTACCTATGACTTAAATAGCTGTATAAAAATTTATGTAACCTGGCACTTACAAGTTTATCCATATATTAAGTTTTTTTTTTTTTTTAGTGCCTTTGAATGAAATTTTCAATAAAGCTCTTTCCGTTAAAAGTATGGAGAGAAGAAATGTTTGATTTATGGCTTTAGATTTTATGAGGCTTTTGTAGTGAAGTTGAGTATTCTGCCAGTGCTGTGCATTACTGAGGCACAATTCCTCAACTACCTACAGTAGGGTGAAAAGGAAGCTAATCATTTGGCCCACTTTCTGAAAAAGATTTGATACTGCACCTGAGACTGTGTCAGACCCATGCAAAAATGGTTTTCATTAAGCGCTTTTGAAAACGTTTTGTTTTTGCTTGAGTATTCATGTATCGCCTTTTCACTTTCTAATCAATATATGAGTAGATTTTTCATCATTTATAATCTGTGAAATTGACTTGCATGTAGCTTTTGGTTTTTGTTTTGTGATGGCTCTGTGTCTTGCAATCTGGCAAACTTGACAACTAAATTGTGAATTTCTCAGAAAAAACGACTTGTTATTCTACTGCTATTTGTATTTCCAGTATTTGCCAAGTAATGGGTATTAAGTCAATGTTTAGGAAGGAAAATGAAAAGGAGAAGGGAACACATTGAGAAAATTGGAAAGTGGTACTCGTGTATACCTGAAATTCAAAATTTGTGTTTGTATGTGTTTGTGCAAGCTGTGAATTAATTTAGTGCATGCATTTATCTCTAATTTTAAATTCCTTTTTTGATATATGGTAGTCATATCTGTACCTGTGAATGGTTCCCATGAACTACCATTGTACTTGGTGCTGGGTTTTTTTGCAGTTACTGTATTTGGATCAGGTGATCTTTATGGCCTCCTCTGGCTCTTAGGTTTTTATGATTTCTGAATTTGATATTTTCAGTTCTCATAATTTTTAGTAATTGACAACTATGTGTTTTAAAATATGTCTGAATGGTTGCAGAAAATTTATAGTAAGTTTTTGAGATGTTAAGAAAGAATTCCTGTCTTTAATTTTAGATTTTATATTTGTGTTACAAATCTAGAATTGTATAACAGAAGATAGCAAATAGTGCAAAGAAATCACACAGAAAATTTCAGTGTCTTTATCATCCTTAGCCTTTACTACAGAGAAGCCAACGCTCCAACAGACCACATTCTTAAGGACCGACCAGTCTCATTTTTCATCTAAGTTGAAAACACTCCCTTCATTGTTTAACACCTCATTGCAGCCTACACATCCCCTGCAGTTTGAGTCGGCTGGAGGCCTTGCTGTGTAATTAATGCATAATAGAAACCTCCTCCACACAGTGTGAGCACTGGCTGGGACCCATCCCCCAGCAGCATGGCATCTACTTGGCTTCACTAAAATTGGGGAGTCTTCCATTTTCTAGCTTTTCAGTAAATGAATGAAACAACAAAAATAAATCCCATCTTAACCTTTAACTTCCAAAAAAACAACATTAAGGTCACATTATGGAAGTATTAAAAAACACATTTTACATTTATAAACATGATTTTGAGAGATGTTTTAGTGGGACTGTAAGTTTATTGAAAATAAACTGATTGGATGGCACTTGTGGCTCCTGCCAGAGTTCCAAAGAGGAGAAATTAATTGCAGGAAGGGTGCTCTAGAGACAAGCTGAGGGTCCCCTGGCTTTAGTCAGGCAGTTTTCAAAGCACACGCATGTGTGAACACTGCTGAGGGCCTGGGGAAGAAGCAGGCAGAATACTTCCTGGAGCTCACAGAGTGCCATGAATGTTCATGTTTCAAATGCAATGCAGGGATTCAGCCACTTTGGGAAAAAAATGTAGGAGTTTCTTATTTTTTTCTCATTGCATTGAAGATACTATTTCACATCTTGTAGCCTCCTTTGTTGATGATGATAGATCAGCTGTTAGTGTAATAATTGTTCTTAAGAAGGAAACCTGCTTTATCTGGTTATTTTAAACCTAATTTTAAATTTGTTTACCTGCTATATGTAGATGTAGATTTCTTACCTATCCCACTTTGGCATTCATTAGAATTAAATTTGTGGCTTGGTGCTTGTCATCAGCTCTGCTCTGCCCTCTAGATTTTACCACCATGTCTCCCTTTCACCCCTTATCCCTCTTTTCTTTCTGGGACGTAAATGAGATACACTTCAGATCTCTCATTCCACCTTCCATTTCTCTCTCTCTCTTTTTAAATATTTTTATTGGGGAATTGGGGGATGGGAACAGTGTTAAGGAATTGGGGAAGGGGAACAGACAAGTTGCTGCCCTTTTGTTCTTCAGTCTAGTTGTGAAGGACGTTGCTTCACTGGCCCAAGTTGGTACCATCATTGTGCTCTTCCCGGGTGAGGCAGATCAGTTGCCAGCTTCTGGACAGCTGCTCACAGCGGCTGCTGGCCGCTCACGCTGGCTGCCGGCCACACACGGTAGCCCATGGCAACCCACTGCCACAGAGGCTGCAGCCTACGCCGTCGCCAGGAACTCACAGCAGCCCAGCTCCAGGTTGAGCTGTTGTTCAGCATCTTAGCTGTGGAGGGTAGTGTCACTGGCCCTTATGTGGGATCCGAACCAGGGCCCTCTGGCGTCCCAAGCCAGTTCTTAACCATCACGCCCCTCGACTGGCCCTAGAATTATTTATTTATTTATTTTAGCTGAGCCATCCTGCCACCTTTGGCAGCTCAGCGGCAGCTCAGCTCGGGCCAGGCATCGAACTGCTGTTGCTCAGAGCTCACACTCTTGAGCGAGCTCTTAACCACCTGAGCCACTCAAGCTGGCCCCTTCCATGTCTCTTAAAGATTGTGTTTTCCATCTGTTTCGCTGACACCTGCATTCTTGAGAATTTATTTAGATGTAACTTTTAACAGTCTCTGGCCATGGCCTCATCTGATGTTAAGTCTACCATGCATTTTGAAATTTAGGTATCTTGTTTTTCAGTTTTACTGGTTCTATTCAGTTCTTTTCCAAACTGTTGGTCTTTTTCTTAAAAAAAATTATTTATTTTCCCCTTTACATATTTTCAAGCTTTTAAAATAAGCTTTAATTTTTGATAATTGCATTATTGAAGTCTTTAATTATCTTTTAGTTTTGACTGTTGTTTCAGTCATGATAACCTCATTTCTTTGTGTGTTTTTTATGATTTAATGTTTTTCATTGTTTTCATTTACTCATTTCTTGGGAATTTTTTCTGTGGAAATTCTTTGAGTTCCAGAATGTAGGTGGGGGTACTTCAAAAATATTTGGCATTTGTGTCTGCTAAGCACCTGGGAGTGTTGTCAATCTAATATCACTTTAAATTAAATTCTCAGTGCAAGGTTTTTTAACATCCAGATTTTTTTTTTCCTTTTAATTATTTTTTATTATGAAATACACGTTTTTTAGAATTAGTTTCAGCTGTACAACACAGTGCAATAGTTATACTTTTTTATTGTTATTTTTTTAATTTATATTTTTAACCTGGAAAACATCCATAAACTTGTTCGATTTTCAAAATAACAGACTTAAAAGTCCGGAACTTATCTAGCTATATCATTTCATTTGCATTTTATTCTTTGACAACACTAATAAAAGTATTTCAGTAGAACGATACTTGTTGAAACAGTAATGACTTTAATCACGCGTCCCCCCGCTTCGTCAAGTATTGGGTAAGTCAGTGGACATCAAAGTATTTCTCCAAATCACATATCACCCACCATATCAGTTGTGCAGTTCTGGTTGTATTTGTTACAATACGTTTAAGTGACAAAAACCAACTCATCATACCTTTATCAAAAAATAATTTATTGTCTCAACATGACTGAAAAGTTCTGGCTTTGGACACAGCCGGACTCAGTGCTAAAATGATGGAATCAGGGGCTGCTCCCTCCATCTCCATAATCATCCATAAAGACGAGGGCCGGAAAGTCCAGGTTAGCAATCACAGTACGAAGATGGTGCGTTTCCCAGTAATTCCAGCAGAAACCCCAGGATTAAGTCTCTGGCCTGTCTTGGATAACGTGTTTATTTCGAAGCAGTCACAATGGGCAGGGTGGTTAATTCTTGCTTCAAATCTAAGTGAGGTCCAGTCTACAGCTCTGAGATTTGATTTTCCTTGCAGTTGCCGCGGTGTTGGTTAGGACTGGAGGTTAAGGGGCAGGGAACAGGGCGGGCAGTGGGTTTATGTGCAGTTTACCACTACATTGAACTTACTTCCTGAGAGTTCCAGGTTTGTGAAAGAAGGTGCTCCTGTTAGAGTCATGACCTTGAGCAGAATTGTGGCTTTGCTTCCTATTCCAGTCGCCTGTGAAATGCAGTAAAAAGCAAAGCCTAAGTCTCCGTGGGTAGATGTCTGCAGTGTTGTTCTGACTTCTTTGGGTTCCCGGCTCCATCCTCTTAGCCCTTGGCCCGAGTCTTCCTTCGTAGCAGCCAGCTCAGCGATGCCTTTGAGATGCTCTTCATACTTTGTCCTCCTTTGGAAAACTTCCCGACAGTTTCTTACAGTTAAACATACCCTGTGATCCAACAGTTTCACGCACAGGTGTTTATATAAGAAATGAAAGCATATGTCACAGAAAGACTTACACAGGAATGTTTATAGTAGCTTTATTTGTAATAACTCCGGTTTTGGAATGACCCAAATGTGCAGCACAGGAGAAAGTATACACAGATGTGGCACATTCATACACTAGAATTCTGCCCAGCAGTCATGAAGAATGAAGGACTGATAACGCCCACAGCATGGATGACCGCTGGAAAGGTTAACCTGCATGAAAGAAGCCAGACACCGAAAGAGTGCGTCTTGTCTGATCCCAGATGTGGGAATTCCTAGAACAGGCAAAGCTAATCTTGGGTGAGGGAGAGGAGAATAGCAGTTGCCAGTGGGGGGCGGGGGATGGGTATTGACTGAAAAATTCCCTAGGAGCGTTTCTTGTTTGATGCAGATGTGTCATTTTGATTGGAGTGCTGCTTACACTGAGGATACATTTACAAAAACGTATCTATTTCTGAATGTCGCTGTCTGTAAGTTTTATGTCAGTAGCATTGCGTATGCAGACTCACACTGATGTGAAGCATGGGGCATACTTGTGGTATTCGGGAGGCATACTCCTATATCCCCCTGGGAGGAAGGACCTCACAGTCATATTTTCTGGTTGCTGACTCTTCGTAAATGAATTCATGGGGAGTAAAGGGATTATCTCTGGAAGAGCTATTTAAATGACGCGACAGTCTTTTCTGTTGGATGTGACATGGATGTGAAAGCATTCAGCTCACAAGTGAAGGTCAGTGTTATCACAATCGCAATGTACTAACAACAACTTTCATGACCACAGAGTTAACATCCCTATAGGATGAACCCAGCGTGTGGTAATGAAAAGTTTCAGAGGATTCTACCAAGTGCGTCGCTCATGCGTCCCCCTTCCCCTTTCATCTCTCCTGAATTTTAGAAGCAGAATGCTACTCAGCACAATGATTGCGTTGCCCCCATGTAATTGGAGGTGGGGCCAGACCATAGCTAATAAAATAGCTAATAGACAGTATTAGGGGTATGTATATTAAAAAAAAAAAAGACTTTTTAAAATACTTTGCGAACCCTAATAAATTGAGACCTGTTAACAGCTCTGCAGATTGATGAATTATTTTTGAGGATATCTGTTGATGGTACAGTAGAGAACTGAGCCACATAGATTTGGCAGTTGAGTAAATTACTAGCAGTATTTACGAAATCAGACAGTTGGCATACACTGATTTAATTTCCTTTAAATTTGCAAAGCAACCCTGGGATTTCATGGCATTTTTCTAACTTTGCTGAGGCGTAAAATGTGAAAAGAGGTGTGCTGTGAAGTTCCTGGGTAGGCTGTCACCTACCCAGGAAGATCCCCAGGCAGCCACCCGCGTCTTCATTTCAAGTTGCCTTTCGATTTATAATAAAATTTCCCTCTCATAGCATTTGAGAAATCAAGGATTAGTGTGGTCTTTTATGTAACCTTGGAGAATGCTAAGCGCCTAGATGAATGAATATAAATTGTGTGTGTCTATGTGAGATACACACACATCCTGACTTACGGCCTAAGTGAGCCTGTGTCCTCTTGGAAGACCAATACTCTTGAAGCATTATGATCTGTACATGCAAAACAGGTTTATTTTAAAAATAAATGCTTTTGGTTTAAAACTGGCAGTATTTAAAAAAATAATTTCAAAATATAATATATTTTACCGTTTTCATCACATTGGATCATTTGACGTTTTCTTATCTGTTTTTTCAAAGATTTGTCCCATCAGATGAAAAGAAGAAACAAGGCTGCCAACGAGAGAACGAAACTCTAATACAGAGAAGAAAAGACCAGATGCAGCCAGGGGGCACTGCAATTAGTGTCACAGTTCCGTATAGAGTAGTAGACCAGCCCCTTAAACTTATGCCTCAGGACTGGTAAGATAATCTATAGTTTTTGGCATAATGAACACTAACTTCTAGAAACCTTAGTAAAAATTTTTTCCATTTGCCCATTTGTTCTGGATCAGCCTTTAGAGGAAAACTTGCAAATAGACTAATGTTTTGAGGGCCTGTAGTTCAGATTTGGAGAACTCAGATTTTCTGGCAAGAAACGATAAGTGAAGGCATTGTTACTTTTATTGTAAGGGAATAATTCAATAAAAAGAAGAACATAATCACCATGTTTTAGGGCTGTTATTACATTAAAAAGTCCTTTAATAAAATATTAAGCTTTTTGTAATATAAAATGCTTATAAATTCAGGTACATGAATTACCTTAAATTGTTTCAGTACTATAAGCTGGATTAAAAACACACAGTCTAAGTGCATCTCTATGACACAGAGAATGCCACACATTGACACATTAGATGGCATTTTCCTTTGCAGGATCACTGGTCTTCAGGCATTAGGGAGTCAAGCCACTGATGATATTGGTATGTTAGTTCACTAAAGAATAAAGGGTTCTTGTATTATAATTCTCCCCCCATCCCTAACCAAGATACATGGAGTGATACATGAAGTGAATGAGATGAGAATCTCAGATGTGAAGTTTAAGACTTGTAGGAAGGAGGAACACTGCACTGTTTGTGTTATATGTTTGGAGTTATTGGCAGAAGATGACACTGCAGACAGTGTGTACAAGTGCCATCACTGTACACAGAATACGGCTTGTGTACATTCTCCAGGTCCCTAGCCATTCGTGTCATAACCTGGGGCTATTTTCCCTTTCTTCTTTTCTTCTGTGTTAATTGTCCTTTCAGGAATTCACTGGGAGTCCTATTTATGTGATGCTGCTCCCAGTGAGACCTGGTCGGATCCAGGCGACCTCTGTCCAGCAAATTCCCTTTGGCAGGCAGGAACCTTGAGCTTTCAACTATTGTATGATACAAGTTACATCATACAATTATGAGGCCATTTAATTGTGTGCTCCATTCCCAAACGTGGTTTTGGTGGTATGGGGCATATACCTTTTGAAAGGAAAAGATTTTTTTATTAACGATTTAATTTTAGCCTTAGAGATTTTGAGTAGGTTAAGAATTTTAAGCTGTGGTTTGTCACAGTAACTGATTATTGCTGTAGGTCTTTTTCTCTTAAATAGAAGGCAACCCTAATTTGATGTTTTGTTGGACGGATAGAGTTTTCATCTAATGCCCTGGTTATCTGTGGACCCCTGAGTGTGGCTTGGACCCTTTCAGGGAGTTGGAAGGTCAGAACTATTTCCATGGTTTGGAACGGAGTGGATGTTCTCATTGTCTATCAGTCCTCACACAGGACAGTAGCACAACCAGTGTACAAGATGAATCATTTATATTTCCCTCTCCCCTATCCCCTACCTCTCCCCTCCTCACTCGCCCCTTCGTCCCTTTCTCTTTTTCTAGCATGCCCATGCACTTCTGTTTCCTCATCTGTAAAATGGGGATAATGATAGTACTCCCTGGATTGCTTTGAAGAGTAAATGCGTGAACGTAAGTCACGCTGTAAACTGGTTAGCCCAGCACTGGCTTGTAGTCAATGCTCGTGGTGCAGCTCACTGACGTTAACTGTTGTTGATGTTGGGTTTCATTCCCACCTCGTTAGTTGTGGGCTGTAACTGTTTATGGCAGCTGGACTTAACTATGATTTCTTAATTTAATTAAATATTTTGTAAACCAGTGAAGTGTAGGGCCTAGAAAGAGATTTGTTCTTTTCAGGAAAACGAAATTAAATGGTTGGGAAAATAATCTGCTTTAAGGAAAACTTATAACATGTAGGGTGAGTGAAACAATTGAAAACTTCAACAATTGAAAAACTTAAAATGGTAGATGGTTTTGTACTCACAGTACTTTTCCAAATAATCAGAACTCAAAAATAAGACTTTGGAGCTTAATAAAATGGTTGGTAAATTACTATAATTTATAATGTTTTTAATTAAGGTAAAACATTTAAGATGTGTTTGAATTTTAAAACCAGTGTTTTCAATTAATAGATCAACTGCTGTTTCCTATTGCATTGGAGAAGTGGGCCCTCCCTATAGTTAATAGAAGGGCACAGATAAAAGGCTAAAAAGAGAGCACATAGAACGACTGTGCTTGTACTTAATTATGTTTAAAAGATGGACGTAGGTGCAAAATATAGATGCATGGAAAGTGTAGCAAGCATTGCTGGACTCTAATGGTAACATGGTAATGAGAAGTTTCATAATGTGCTTTGTTTGCCTCAGAAGTGTTGACAGGAGACTATATCCCAAGACTAATTACGAAACTATTCTTAAGGATTTACGGTAACCAAAGCTCATGTTTGTGTATTCTCTGTCCACTCTCCCCCTCCCCCTTTTTCTGTTTATAGGGACCGGGTTGTAGCAGTTTTTGTGCAAGGTCCTGCGTGGCAGTTCAAAGGTTGGCCATGGCTTTTGCCTGATGGGTCACCAGTTGACATATTTGCTAAAAGTAAGATTCTCTTTATTTTTACTGTTTGCCCAATACGGAAGTGCTATTACTGTATTTAAGAGAAAGAGCCATCTATGTCTGTATATATGATGTGTATGTCAGAGGATTCCTATTAAGTAACATATACAGAGGGTGCCAAAAAAATGTATACACATTTTAAGAAAAGAAAAAACTATTAAAATTATGCTGATGGCAACCACTTTGAGCATCTCTTATAATTATTTTTTATTTATTTATTTTTTTTTTTAGCTGAGCCATCCCGCCACCTGTTGGCAGCTCACGGCTGCTCAGCTCGGGCTGACTCGAACTGCTGTTGCTCAGAGCTCAAACTCTTGAGCGAGCTCTTAACCAACTGAGCCACTCAGCCGGCCCGAGCATCTCTTATAATTAATTGCAGAAGTCAAACGTGACTTGTATTCATCTTTTGTTATTGGAATATATTGAGTATTACAATTTTAATACAGTTTTCCTTTCTTAAAATGTGTATACATTTTCTTGACACCTTCTATGTAACGTTCTTTTTAAGCAACTGTGAAGTATTTTTAAGCCTTTTTTATGAACATTAGTGTTTTCTATATACTTATATCTAAAAGTGAATTATTGCCTATCCCCCAACATTAGTAATTACTTTTTAAGTTGCTTTAAAATCATTAATGTTATTGCACGCCCAAACGTTTTTATTAGAGTTGATGTCCAGTTTTTAAATGGGTTGACTTTTGATGAACAGTGATGTGTAGCTATGACTTAAAGCACCCACATCACTTTTGCCAGCCGTTCCCATTGTCTGGAGTGGGTGCAGCATGACTGGCTTCTTTTCAATCAGGTCTCAGCTCAAGTATTCTTTCCTTTAGAGAACCCTTCTGTGACCATCCTGGAAACAGGCGTTGCCTCCTCTCAACGCTGTTTTATTTTTATGATAGCACTTATTGTTGCTTGATATTTTCTTATTTTTGTATCGTTGTTGTGAGTCTGTCTAGAGTACAAGTTCCATGATAGGAGGAGGTTTACCTGTCTTGTGCGCGCTTGTATCATCCGCACAGAAGAATGTGTGGCGTAGGGGAAGCATTCAGTAGACACCTGTTAAATGAGTGGATTTCATGCGGCTTAGAGTCTTTCTCGGCCATATACCAGTCAATAAAAAGTAGAGGAATTTAACCTGTTTTTTTTGCTGGTAGGGCTATTGCAATTGTTATTTAATTCAAGTACCCAGTTGAGTTAGTAATATTCGTAGAACCACTTTATAAAAAGCATTCTCATGAAACAAATATGTTTATTACAAATGACTTTAGTTATTATGAATGTAGATTGTGCTACTGTGTGAAATCCAGCTGATTTTTAGCAACCTCTGTTTTTGTTGGTGATACCACTTCTTCCAGGCTAGAAACTGCCCAGTCTTGAAAGATGTAATCATTTATTCTCCTACCGTCATTCATTTTAAAACATGAATTCTAATAATACTAATATTGTGATAGCTTTATATGTTATTTCTGAAACTTGAGTGATACATAGAGTTGATAGATAGTTAAAGATGTAGAGAGAATGGGAATTTTTATGAGAATAGTCACTGAACACGAATGTTATAGTCCACCTGCTTGCTTGCCTTGTTGATAGTATTGTAATAAAAAATGATCAGAATGCCTTCAAGATGTCAATGCTGTCTAAATTGAATTAAGTAAAATGATGTTTTAATTGTCGTTTTGTTCAGATTGTTAGTCTTCTGAAATTTAGATAAGAACTTAGAGGCTTTAAAAAAAAATTATTAGTACTGATTTTCTTCCATGGATTATTTTCTTTCTCTTCAGCCTTCCTTCTTTATTAACTCCTATTGCTCAGCATTTATTTTTATTTTTTATTTCTCCCCACTGCCCCTCTGTTAGCATTTAAAATGAAAATACTCTTGCCTCTTCCATCTTAAAACCCATCAAATAAACCCTTTCTCTTGACCTCACCCTGTCTTCTAACTCCTTCTCCTTCTCCAGATAAGCTTTTGAAAGAATTGTTTCTCTGACTCACTTCTCCCAATTCTCAATCCACTGGAGTCTGACTCTCTTCTTTCCACTAGACTATTCCCACCAAACTCACCAGTGACCCAAATCCTGGGTATTTTTGACCTCTTTATCAGAGTTTGACTCTTTGGACCCATTTCCTCCTTTTAAAAATGTTCTTTTCCTATGGCGTGTTATGCTCTCTCAGACTCCCTTGCTACTTTCCCCCTCGCTTTCAGCTACGTTTTTGTGTTCCTGTTTCTCTTCTCCTTTAATTAGAAATACCCTCTCAAGGAGATCCCATAGCCCTCAGTTGCCATCTGTGTGCCCTCTTGTTTGAAAAGTCATGTCTCTCGCTGATATCCTGGGCCTATGCACCTCACGATTACCAGGTGACGTCTCTGCGGTCCCCATTGGTACATCACACTCACCCTCTCCCCAGTGAAATGGATGGTCTTATGTTCTCCCTCATCCCTGAACTGTTTCTTTTTTGTAGTAATTTGCCTAAGCCAGAAATTCAGGCCTATATTATCTCTTTGCTTTTAATTGGTCTCTGCGCCGACTTCGCTCTTGCCTCTTCTAGCTTCCCAACCTTTCTCCCATAACACACACTGAAAACAGTAGTATCTGTGTAGCACACGGGGAGAAGACAGAGGGCATTTGGAGCGTCTCTGTGGGCCTCGGTAAAAAATGATCTTTTGTTTATATTGCACAACAACATACAAAATGTTAGAGAAGAGATTAAATATTGAATTGTATAAAATTGACAAACAAAATATTTTCAAAGTTATGAGAAATTTGAGCTTATAACTGGATATAGCTTTTAAAAAATATATTTTATGCTTGAGGCGGCTACATACATTTGTGATCAAGATTTTTAAACGACGATTTCTTTAAAGTTTTGCTATTGGGTTGTCGGAAAAATCATGACGCATGTTTGCAACAGATGGCACTAGTTCATATTTGGAAGTACTAGAGTCATTCACATCTATGTTATTGCTATGTCATTTCACAGCTGACAGTTCTAGCGTCATTCTAAAAAAAAATTGAGCGATTTGGTTGAGTTTTGGAGATTTTACAATGAGTTGAAGATGGAAGACCAAACTGTGCATTTTTGCCATATTTTACTATTTTACTTCCATAAAGGGAAGAACACGTGTTAAGCTAGTGAAATGTTGCATAAAGTTTACGGTGACAGTGATCTACAAGAATGTCAGTGCCAGTGATGGTTCATGAAATTCCGTGTTGGTGATTTTGATCTCAACGATGCTCCTTGGTCAGGGAGGCCCACCGAGGTTGATGACGACAAAATAAAGGCATTGATTGAGTCAAACCCACGTTATATGACACGAGAGATTGCAGAAACATTGAACATCCATCATTCAAGCCTTCACGACCACCTTAAGAAACTGGGATACGTAAGCAAGCTCAATATTTGGTTTCCTCATGAACTCAAAGAAGTTCATTTGACAGCGTGTATAAACATCTGTGATATGCTCATTAAACGTGAGGAAAATGATTCTTTTTTGAAGCAACTGATAATTGGTGATGAGAAGTGAATTGTTTACAACAGTGTGGTGCGCAAACGGTCTTGGTCCTGACGTGATGATTCGCCTCAAACGACATTGAAAGCAGAGATTCATCAGAGGAAGGCTATGCTCTCTCTGTGTGGTGAGATTTTAAAGGTGTTGTGTTTTTCGAGCTCCTACCAAGGAACCAAACAATCAATTCGAATGTGTACTGTCGACAATTGGACAGTTTGAACAAATCCATCATCCGGAAACGTCCAGAGCTTGTTAATTGTAAAGGAGTTGTGTTCCATCGCAACAACACGAGACCACACACAAGTTTGATCGCCTGTCAAAAATTATTGGAGCTTGGATGGGATGTGTTGCCACACCCACCCTACTCGCCTGACCTTGCGCTGTCAGACTTCCACTTGTTTCACTCTCTTCAAAACTCCTTACGTGGTATAACGTTCAATTCAGATGAGGCTGTAAATCATCACGTTTGTTCACTTTTTCACAGACAGGTCCTTCTATGAACAAGCAATTATGAAGCTCACTGAAAGATGGCAGAAGGTTATCGAACAAAATGGGCAATATATCATTGATTGATCTTTGTTCTTTATGTAAATAAATGACCTTTGAAAAACAGAAAAAATATGTCATGACTATCCTGACAACCCAATAATTTTTTAGTTCCTAGGCTAAACCATTTTCTCTTTGAAGTGTGCTCTTCTGGCTAACTGGTCACTTTTATTCTGTGTTAGCCTAATTCTTACTCCGCATTTAGATCTTAGATTAGACATCACTGCCTATGCAAGCTGTTTTGGAATTCCATGGTCTGGGTAAGGTACCTTTAGCGTACTGTACCGTATTTCCCCATGTAAGACGCACCTTTTTTGGAAAAATTTGGGGTTTAAAAATGTCTTATACAGTGGTTGTAGATTTTTTTTACTTGCGTTTCCCACTTTTTTTGCGCTTGTTTTTGCGCTCACACAACCACTGTATAACACGCACCCAGTTTTTGGACCCCAAATTTTTTGGAAAGGGGTGCGTCTTATACATGGGGAAATACAGTATTTGAATAATCTTTAATTGTTATTTTTCACCAGATCATGTGCATTTTATCTTACCTTATTCCTCATTTCAGTCCCCAGTGGCTGGCATGTATACACCCTCCTTAAATGTTTGTTAAATTGAATGTTGTTGAGGATGCGCAGTTTCTAACAACATCTATTTCAAAGATCTATTTCAAACTTTGGTTATAATATAGCTTTAATTGGTGGAAGAAAAAAATTAGAAAAAAACATTTTAGCTAATGTCTGTATTGGGTAGTTTTATATTTTATACAATGTTTTAATAATTTAGATTGCAGTTTGAATAAAAATATTATCTTCCCCCATATAGTCAAAGCCTTCCATCTCAAATACGATGAAGTTCGTCTAGACCCAAACGTTCAGAAATGGGATGTGACTGTGTTAGAACTCAGCTATCACAAACGCCACCTGGATAGACCGGTTTTCTTACGGTTCTGGGAAACGCTGGACAGGTAATGCGGATGCTCAGATGCTGCCCTTGTGCTTGGGTGTCGTGACCGTACTGTCTCCCCACAATGTGGAACCATATCCCCCAGCTCCCTTTTTTGAACATTTTCTTTCTTTTTTTTTTTAATATTTTCTAATTTGATGCTCATCTACAGTTGATAATTTACCGACGGTCTGTATTGTATTGATTTTAGAAATGGATGGAGAAAGGGCGTCTAGCCTGGTAGGAAGAACCCTAAACTCTGAGTCAGGAGACCCACATTTCAGTCCTGACTGATCTGCTGTCACGACTCGTGTGACCTCTCAGGACCTTGTGTCCTCCCCACCGAGGGGCTTGGAACCCAGAGAGCCGGTGTTTTTGGTCAGCACAGAAGGGCCTCTGATCTGGATTTGAGTTGCGGGTAGCTGATGAAAGGAATTGAGTTTTGTAATTTATTTTCATTACTAGTATACAGTTCTTAAGGTCCTTACCACCACATGAGTTTTGTAACGGGAAAAATGAAGAGCAGCACATGACGACAGTTAATTTCACTGAATCTTGTCTTCTTTGTGCGGTGCCCTCTACAGTCTGGAACTTTCTGGGTCTAAGTCCCTCACTGAATCTTATGGGTTTCCTGAAAGTCAGAGGTGATTGGGGAAAGCCAGTGATTCTAATTGGTAACATTTTAAAGAGAAACATTTATTATTCTAGCCAGAAACTCTGAGATTATAGAATTTAATAAGAGGAATGTGTCTTCCAGCTTACTTTAGAAGACTTTATATTCCCAAATGTTACAGTAGCAGGTTTCTGGTTTTTTAGAAAATAAAATATCCTGTTTCACTGTTAATTTTGAGTTTTAAAAAGTCCACTTATTTTTTCCATGTAGTTTTCTAAAACTCTAAAATTTGTATAATCGTTAAACTTACTATAATACTATTTTTCAGGTACATGGTAAAACATAAATCCCACTTGCGATTCTGAGTTCCTTGGTTTCCCCTTCTTCTGGAACTCTGGATGAAGAAGCATGGATATGCCTTGATGTAAAGACTGAGAGTCAAGCTTTATGAATTGATCAGAAACTTACAATTGCAGAAGGTCACAGAACGATCGCAAGACCTCATTTGATGCTTATGCTTCAAAGGGATGACGCCTGTCATTCATATAAGCAAACTTTTTGGCTTACAACTATTTTTTTAATACTAGCCTTCTAGCCTGTAATGGAAATTGTATATTTTGATAGAAGTTTTTTCCTCCATTGGTTAAACTAGCATTACTTAAAATTTGTTTCTTTAGAAAATAAATACAGGTTATAAATGTGTGTATATTTAGAGGTCATCAGGCTGTCTAAGCCATCTTGCTAATGATTTTTCATTGCCCTATAATTCCTTTTATTGAAAAGACTATGTTATGAATGGTATTAAAATTTTAGTTTCTGGAACTTGCAAAACCAAGCAAAGGGATGTGACTATTTTGAATGAATCAAAATGTCAATCTGTATGTATACTATATCTATACTAACTTTTTATTTAAAAAGGAATAATGAAAAATCAAGAACAATTCTTAAGCTTTGGTTGAACTGTTCAGCCTTTTCAAGACTTCTTTACTTATATTGAATACATTTAATGAATGTACATTCTTCTCACTGAATTTGGTGATTTTAAAACTTAGAATGATATATTTCTATCTGTGATATCTTTCCACTTGAAAAATCTCAAAACACAGATTAAAAACCGAATAGGCTATAGTACTTTTTATTTGGGGAGCCAGAGTATGATTTGGGGGAAGGAAATCTTTTAGTCCTACCGCAGGGTAACTTGAGCTTCCTTACCTTTTGTCCTCAGTCCACCTTTCTTTCTTAGCTTGTAGGTGTGGGATTTTGAGTCTTCAGTTTCTAGGCATGTTGAGTGGAGTCCTTATCTTCCATTATCTCAAAGTATTGATAAACTCTCCCAGGCACCAAAGAACTCATTTGCTTAATTCTCTGAACAGAAACAAGATAAAACACTGGTATTTTTATGTGCATATTCAATATCGAATGAAATATAAAACCTATATTTTAACTTAGTAAAATATTTTACTACTTCTCTACGTTAGATAGCGTGTTGCATCTGAGGTACAATGAATGAACATTTTTTTTGAGTCTTAATTTCACCTTTTATTACTTAAAAGCAACTTGGAACCTTTACTGCCCTACAGAGTTTTTGCCGTTACAATTGTTGCTGATCAGTCGTCTTACATCATTTCTTCTCCAATTTTACCCCGCAGTGATCTCCCTTAGGTGAACATATTTTTTGGGGTTAAACATTTAGCTCCTGCTATGTTAAGCTAACATTACCTATCTTCATTTTGAAATTTAATGCTATCATAAATTTAGAGAAGCACTTATTTATTTTTTAACAAAAAGTCCATATCAGTGGGGAATAAAAAAAAGTATTTATTCATATGGAATTCACTGGGTTTTTCAGAAGATAATTAGTCAGCATTTAAAATTATTAGATTTTAGGATATTTATAAGATTTGAACAGATTCTGCCCCCCCTTCTTTTCTGTATCCTCTCTTGAAAATAAAACTAAAATTTGTTCACATTAGAATATCTCAGCATATAAATCTGTTTTCAAAATAAATTATGTATTGTATGAACTTTCTCCATGATGAAATAGTCAAGAACTAGAATCTGTAATATTTTAATGTGAGATTATTTGTTAAGACTACTACAAGTGGACACGAACTACCTTTCTATAAAGATTTTTAGTATTTATACTTATGTCATGTATGAAATTTACTTGATACAAAGTGTGGTTAAAATTGGGAACATTTACTTTAAACAGGGTTTATTTTTCTATCTTGAATTTGCCTTATATATATTAAAAGGCTTCTTGAAATACTGTAAGGGACATTAGAAAAAGTACAATATATGCCATATATTTTCAGATCAGACCCTTAGGGTATATTTTCTTTTTCTTTTTTCTTTTTATGACAGTTCAGTTCCTTTCTTTAAATCCATGCAATTAATTTTATAGGCATTCATTAAAAAAAAACAAAAAACTTTTAAGGCAATCACTGTTCATTATCTCATGACTCCGAGTCCTACAGCAGCATCCATCACAGTGCCTTGCACATAGTAGGCATTCAGTAAATATTTATATACATGAATGAATGATGTATTTTCAATGTTAACGATTTATTACAAAGAGTACTTTGACTAGTTGGTCTTGGATTTTGAAAACTCAGAGCTAAAGACAGTGAATAGGCATACGCAGATATTTTCATGGAAATGAAGTGCACATTAATGAACTTGTCTCACCCATAAGTGACTGTTAGCGGGAGACCTCCTTGTCCCACTGGTAAAAGAAAACTCCATTTCTTCAGTCATAGGACACTCCTCTGAGTCAGGTACCAGTGAGAAGTTCTTAGCTTTCAATCAGTAGCTTTCAATCCTGACTGCACGTTAGAATCACTGGGGGACCTTTGAAAAATCCCGTTGCCTGAACCCTGATCTGATTTCGTTTGTCTGGGACGAGACCGAGTCATCAGTATATTTTAAAAGTTCTTCAGATATTTTTATGTTCAGAAAGGATTGCGAATCACTGGTTTAATTTGTTATTGAAGGCAATACCAGTATTAAATGTTGTGTTTTTTCCTCTTTTTTTTTTTTTTTTTTAAATTTTTTTATGTGACCACCCTTTGCACTAGACCACCCCATTATTGGTGGTATCGGTCTATAGTTCCACGTGACCAATTTCAAGTTTTATTTATTTAATATAGGACTATTTTGCTGTTTAATATTTAAACAATGTTTAATATATTTCATTATAAAGTAGTAATACAGTTTATGATTTGTTTCCCATGTGTCCATATCCTTTACTGACTTTTTTTTTTAACAGCAGCATGACATCAATCCATACAGAAATAACTAATTCATGAGGAAAATTACATAATTTTGAAGGTAGAAGGAAGTATTAATTTCTTATCTGCCGTGCAGAATTAGACAGTTTGCTTATGAAAGGAAAGAAGCATACTTTTTAATTGGTCTACCCAGAAAAGTAAAAGTAAATTATTCATATAAATAAAATTCGTTATCTAATAAACAATGAAGGAAATATTTTTCCTAAATAAAAATTTTTGTGACTCCTAACAAAATTAAAGCGATGACATTGTTCTTTTTTGGAGGGTGGGGTGGGGGTATTTAGTTGCTATATTTCTTACTGTATAGTACAACAATTCCATTTTATCAGTGTCAACAGTAGAAACTGATAGGGTATACGTACGTGGCCAGAAATAATGCCAACTTTGCCAGTTACCTGATATCTTAAGTCTTTCTTGTTGAGTTACTTAGTTTATAAAATTCTTGGTGACCAACAGTAAAATTCAACAATTACAAAAACTGGTAAAAATGAAAAAAAAATTTAGCCTTAATATTACTTGACAATTTTTATTCACTCGGATTTGATATTCAACTGGTTTCTAACCATAGTATATTAACTTGAGAAATAAAAAGGGAGAAATGACCGAATTTGACTTGAGAATTGGATTAGAGATTTCAAAACGCCGTGTTCCATATGCCCTGACCACTTTTGGATGTACGTTGACCCCAGATGGTATCTTTAATATGTTGGGATAATAACTAAGGAAAAACTGAAAATGTATAATAGATGTATAAAGAATTATACTTAGTAAATGCATAATCAGTAATACTTTCAGGTTATCGATCTGTTTGGGGTTATATGTATTATTTTAGTAGTGTTTACAAGAGTATCTTGGGAGTTATAAATGTGTGCCATTTAAATGAATAAAGCTAAATGAAATAAACTAATTTTATTACCTAAATTTAAAAAGTTGGGGATACTATGTCAAATTTAAGTAAATGACCTGTCAGAATTTTTTTCCATTTTATTCCATTTGTATCCATTTAAAATTTACTAAAAGCTACCTAACCTCCAAGTTTGATTATAGTGCTTAGTATGGAATGTAGTTCCTGTACATGGTGCGAGCACTATAAGTGATTGTTTAGCCTCCAGTGTGTACTGTTTCTCAAAAAAAGTTGTTCTCGAATGGAGCTTAAATTTGGGCTGTGTGACCTGATAAAATGTTCTATTCATTCTGATTCCGTTTCAGTGGACTTTTACATTTCAGCTTTAATTGTAAATAAATAAAACATTCTGTAGCACATTATATTAAGAGTCTTGGACAATTCCCACCCCTACCGGGTACCCAGCCCCTCAAACCTCCCAAGCAAAAAAAAGTCACATTCAGCCCAAAACACAAAAACTATTATGGGGTAAGATATGGATGATGAAAGTCTTTACATAAAGCGGTTCCTAAGGTTTTTCAAGCATAGTAGTTCTGTGTTTTGGAAATACAGTTGACCCTTGAACAGCGTGAAAATTAGGGGAAAATCCGCTTATGACTCGCCAGTCGGGAATCTGCAGTTGAGAAAGCGAAAATGGTTTTCCACGGGAGGTTGGTTGAATCTGCGCATGCGGAACCCGCGAAATCCGCGACGACGAAGGTCCGTGACAAGAAAACTGGCTTGGACCAGTGCAGTTCATACTCGTTCAAAGCGCAACAGAACTCAGTGTAAGTTCCTGTGAAAACTAGTGCGTGCAGGATGTCCAGTCTTGTCTGTTAGTTAAACAACGTGGGGAATCTTAGTAAAGGTGACAAGCTGCGCACCCAGCTGAGCTTAAATGGCTTCTGGTCCCATTTCCTGTGCCCTTGTAACAGAACTAAGCGTGTATCTTGTGGGCCGGCCGAGTGGCGCTGTAGTGTGTTGGTTAAGAGCTGGCTTGGGGCGCCAGCTCTGAGCAGCAGGGCCCCGGCTCAGATCCCACATGAGGGCCAGTGACACTGCCCTCCACAGCTAAGATGGCGAACAACAGCTCCACCTGGAGCTGGGCTGCTGTGAGTAGCTGCAACAGCGTAGGTGGCAGTGGGGCTGCAGTGGGTTGCCATGGGCTACCGTGAGTGGTCGGCAGCCAGCGTGAGCGGCCGTCCAGAAGCCCGCGACTGATCTGCCTCACCCGGGAAGAGCGCAATGATGGTGCCAACTTGGGCCAGTGAAGCGCCGTCCTCCACAACTAGACTGAGGAACAAAAGGACAGCAACTTGTCTGTTCCCCTTCCCCCAATTCCCCAGCGCTGTTCCCATTCCCCCAATTCCCCAATACAATCTTTAAAAAAAAAAAAAAGTGTATCTTGGGATCCTCCATTATCTTTATAGTTTGAATGTCCTGACTTGAACGTTTTACAGTTTGAAAACAAACTGTACTCCCATGTAATCAAGTCATTAACAGCGTCGTCATGTTAGTAATAATGTGTGAATATTCTGCAACCAAGTTACTTTAATGAAGAGTTTAATGGGCCATACTGGAACTTAATTTCCATTCAGTTCATAAGTGCCCACTAAATGTATTTTATCCTGCTTTGTTCCTTTGCTGGTCTGCTCTCCCTTGAGCACCACATAGCTAAAATAGAGCTAAAATAGGTGCAGCATGAATGGTAAATGCTGTTGAACTTTTATAAGGCTCAAAGGTGCTAGAATGTAAATAACACCCCATTGCCAGCTAGGCTTTTTTCCTCTCATTTTTAAAAACACTTTGCTTTTATATTTAATCATGGTATGATCAGCATTGGTGGTGACTTAGAAGACTTTTCCTCTCAATTTTCTCAAATGACAAAAAAAAAAATTATAAAATGTAGCTCTGGAGAAGGCCCAGTTGTTGAGTCTGCCTCGTGATTCCTTGTAGATCCTTTGGCACAGATTTATAGTTTACAATTCCCCATCATCCAGGGAATGTTGACTTATATTACATGACTGATGTGAAAAGGGCTGAGGCCATGTGAAACAGAAGACATCTGAGAGAGTCTGTTGATCACATTTGGATGTTTTGGTGGGCCGTGCTTCATTTGCCAAAGAAATTCCAAGTGGAAACGCTTGAATTATACAATATGCACTGTCATAAAATATGGTACTATGCACTCAGAAGACTGCCATGGAGTTTCCAGTGTTAAAAATGTAAATCTGCTGGTGAGATCTATTTCTCTTTACAATTGTGAAATAATATAAACGTGTTTTTCTTTAAAATGGGATAGTTTGGAAGTTTATCAAGTCAGTGTGTATCATGGTTGGGGGAGAGCAGATGAGCTTGCTTACAGATCACTTATTTTAGCACAGTTGGGCGTCTCTGATGTTTATGGTGGCTTTGAGTGTAAAGCAGTTTTAAAATATTTATATTCTTAGTTACGTATCTTTGTTCCATAATGCACCATTGAGGACAAAAAGGGAGCGTAAGCGTTACTGGAGACGAAATAACTTGAGCATTCATGCAGTTTAAAGCAAGTGGATGTAGGAATTCTGAGGAGAAAGAAGGAATTATATGGGAACTCTTAACTCTGGGAAAAGACAGTAGAATTTGGGCAGGGATGTATCCTTTAAGTGAAACCAGGCCTGTGATGTGGTCTTGCTTCAGCATCACTTGACTTGATTGCCGTTGTAGAGAAAGAAAATAGATTTTTAACGTATGGTGGGGATAGAAGCTGGCCGGGAGTCGAAGATAATCACAAGGTGATGGTTATAATACCACCGCATGGACTCGAAGCGGTTCAAGGCGTGAGAGAACGGAGGTGCTGAATCGAGAGAAAGGGGGTGACCCCGGAGCTGAAAGCTTCCAACAGTGAGGCTGGAGATGAACCTGAAAGATGAGAAGGTGGGGAGGGGGGATGTGTGAAGTCGCAATGTCAGTGATAGGACGGTGATGAGGACAAAGCAAGACTGGCAGGAGCAGGGATAGGAAGAGGAGGCCCTAGGTGACGTCAGGGGTTTGTGAGGCCACGGCTATTCATGTGCGTGTTGAGATAAAGTGAGAATGACGAGTGGGGGTGACAGGGAAGCCGGCCACAGGCTAGTGACTCGGGTTGGTGGCGACATGCAGGAGACCTCCAGGACCCATGCTCAAAACAAAAGTGTTTGGCAAGACATCCGTGAATGTCCGTTTGGATAGTTTAAGATTTTTTTTTTAAAGGTGCAGATCAATGCCCCCCTCCAACTTGCTTTAGAATGTATCTGCTTGTCCCCCTCGCACAGATTATGAGGACACTTACAGAGGGTAAGGATCTTGCCCCCAGCCCTCCTAACTTCTTGTCGTCCCCGCTGTGCTCCCAGGGAGCCTAGCTCTGTGGCTCTTCCGTAGCTCAGTGATCCTGGGGATGGGTGAAATCTCCTGGGGGACCTGAGCTCTGCACTCCTCTGACTGAAGCCACTCCTGCTAGGTGTGTGTCCATCTTGCTACTGAGGGTGAACACAGTGAATGGTTCCCAACTGGGTGCAGGCTGGAGGAAAAGGAACCCCCGGAGGCATTGGTGGTAGGAAAGGGTCTTTCATGGACTTCTAGAGACAGTCTCTTCCTCCTGCTTTGCTCTGGAGTTTGAGAATGATATCAGCTTGCTTTTGCTACAATGAGGTGGGTTAGATGCTAATGTGAGCCTAAATCTAAATTTTGCCTGAAGCTCTTTCTTTCTGAGGTTTCCTTGTTTGCATGAGGTTGTGGACCTTTTCTTGTTGGTGGGTAATGATTCGTTGTGTTTCCTGTGCCCCCGCCCCGCTCATTGTTAGGTATGAGAGCTGTAATCCGGCTTTATTTCACCATCTTTACCCCTAAGTGACCTGATCTTTTCCCGACAGAGGAACTGGAAGCCATGGACACCCCAGTGCTGTATCTCTCAAACAGGTACGTGTGTAACAAGCGTCGTTTCTTTCCTCCTGTTAAAGCGGTTGAAATGTCCTGTCACCCGTCACAGCCTTGTACACTCCCGTGTTCTCCTGCAGCCTCTCCCACTGTCACGAGGTTTGCACTGTTACTGTTTCCTCTCCAGCTGGTGGCTTCTTTCCGTCGCCCTGTACCTTTCCCTTTCCACCCACCCCTTTCTCATGGCTGCACCTTTGACTTTAAGTGGGGTTCGAGGAGATGGCTCGCCTGTGAGAGGGCCTTGCTTGTGTGGTGCCAGGAGGACTGGCTCGGAGTGCCTGCTGGGGTGCAGCGTGGTGGGCTCAGCCCCACGCTCCCCCGAGGCCCGCAGAGGGCAAGTTCTTGTAAAGAAAGGAAACAGGGGGAAGCGATTTCCCGCCGGTCTGTGACATGGCCTGGCTGCTCGCTGAGGCTAGCACGTCGTCAGCCCACAGAAGCAGAGAGAACTGGCGTTTATTCCTCGTGGCTTTATTGCCACTCCGGGTAGCCCACAGTGACTGGAGCTGAAGCGGGGAGTGAATAAACAAAAGGGAAACCGTCTAAAGAAACCTAAAGAAAAATAGCATCGAGAGAAAGAGAGAGAGAGAGAGAGAGAGAGAGAGAGAGAGAGAGAGAGAGAGAGAGAGAGAGAGAGAGAGAGAGAGAGAGAGAGAGAGAGAACTTTCAGAAAAGGAGGTGGTGAAAATGGATTGCTGGCTCAGGTGGAGGACAACTTTAATTTTGATAAAGCACCTGAGGAAATCCCATCACTGTAAAATGAACTCTAGAAATCAAAACAAAAAGGTGGTAGAAAAAGAGGGAGGTGGCCACCCTTGAGGACCAAATTGGTGGCCTGGGACGCGTGTACTAGTTATCTCTAGAGAGCAAAACGTAGAGAGGGAGATGGTAATGAAAATGAAGACAAGTTCAGGATATGTAAGTGAAGCACCCCAAGGAGGAGAGGGAAACAGACTGAAGCCACAGTTGCTAAACACTAGCGGAAAACTTAACTCGTTAAAGGGTTCTCCCTCTGTAGGCTCTAGGCAACATGAAGAGGAGAAAGGTAAGTAGGCAGAAGTGTTTTTCAGCTATTGATAGTTTACTTCCGGTCAGGGACCAGCGCTGCTTTAGTCACTGGAAATACAGGGTGAATAGAGTGTTGGGCCGTGTCTTCATGGAGCCAGAAGAGATAGATGATAAATAAGCAAACGAATAAAGGCGCCGGAGGGGAGCAAGTGATACAGAAAAAAATGAAGCAAAGTGGAGCGACTTTGGGATGAGGTAGAGGCAGGAAGTGCTATTTTGTATGTGTGGTCAGAGACACCTCAGATAAGATGACATGTGAGCAGCAATTCGAAGGAAATGAGGGATCCAGCCCTGGAAATATCTGGGGAGAAAGCTCTCCCTACAGGGAACAGGAAGATTAAAAACTTTGAAGTCGTATCTTA